TCACCAGCAGGTCCTGTGGGTCCTGGCCCCCTGCCCTGTTCCCTTGAGCCCTCTCCCCTTGGGACTTGCCCCTGTGGCGGGCTCTGATCGGCAGTCATGCCCATGGCTGTGGGTCTTCTGCCAGTCACAGGTCCCTGAAAAGTTGGAGGCTGTGGGAGGCCTGGCTGAGCGGCATGGCAAGCACCTCGACCCCAGCTGTGTGTGTGCACACACATGTGTCATGACACACTTCACTGCCTCAGCACGAGGGAAGCGTGTGTCCAGGAGCCTCTGCATCAGAGCTGATGACAGAGGGGAGAGGCAGTCACCACCGAGCTAAGGAACAGAGCAGAGCAGGACAGGCGGGTGCAGGGGTGGGCCCAGCCGTCACCTGGACAGCTATCACACGCGGCCTCTGCAGATGCCTCCGGAAAACTGGGCTGATGGGGAGCCAGCAGCCCACTCTCCTCCGGCAGGTGTGGTTTCTCTGGAGTATGGAGGCTGTCAGGCTGCTTCATTGGAAAAGGAGCTGCTGACCCTGGGGGAGGACACACAGGAGAATCTCTGTTGTCACAAAGCATCACAACTTTCAGCCACGATTGGGTCACACATTTTCAGGCCATTTGGGGGAAGAGCTATTGAGTGAGAACATTTTTAAAAGTTTATAACCATTGTAGTATTTGAATCCACACTAACTGCTCTCTTATTTGTTTGGTTTTGGGGTGTTTTTTTTTTGTTGTTGTTATTTTGTTTTTGAGACAGGGTCTCACTGTAGCCCTGGCTGGCCTTGAACTTGCAACAGTCCTCCAGCTGGGTGCTGAGTGCAGGGATTTCAGGGTGTGCCCCCATGACATGGATGGTTTTACTGTTGGGAAAAGAGAGAACAACAAACCGAAACACAGAGCTTGGCTGTAAGGGGGAGAGAGGACCAGCGGCCGCCTTCAACCGTCAACAAACCGTGCTTTGTGGGGCACGCAAACCCCGGAAGCGACCTTGAGAGGCACGACTTCTGGTCATGCTCTGGTCCTTCAGGACAGAGAGTCACACAGCTGGCCATCCTCGTCCCTCCCTCGTCCAGGTCTGAGCTCTTTGCAGCCTGCTGTCCTCTCTGGCGAGAAAGGAGAAGGGTTGGGTGGATTTTCCCCAAGCTGGCTGGGGCCTTGCGACATGGTTTGAGACTTGGACATGCTGTTTGCCACCAGTGTCAGTTTCCTGTTCAGTAAGGTGAGGACTGTGGCATCCCCATTTGAGGCCCTGCTGAGAGGACCTGGCCAAGAGGACGACTGTGCCCTTAGGGCCAGCAGAGTGCTGTGAGAACAGCGGGCCAGCTTCGAGGCTGCCAGGCTGGACTTGGAGCTGGCCGGGCCCCGTGTGACCAGACCCTGGCGATACTATGCAGCTCTGAGCAGACCAGGCAGGGCCACCTCTGACTGTGGGCAGCGTGGGCACTGGGCAGGGTGAGACGACCCTGAAGCTGTGTTGAGCCAGGTGCACAGGGGTCCAAGCCCAGTGGTCAGGGCTGCAGTGGCACAGAGCTGGTCCCCCGCAGGTGGGTGCAGGCATCAGCATCAGCGATGCGGCTCCCTGATCAGGGTGTGCACTCTGCATGGTGACCTGCAGGCCAGGCTGGGCACTGCAGTACCCAGGAGGGGACAGGCAAGGCCATGCTGAGGGGCCCAGTTTGTCCTGAAGGCTGTGCGAGATGCCACTGACACATCCAGCCAGAGCGTGCTTCCGAGGGACAAGCCTAGGAGAGGGCACGGGAAGGGAGTCACAGAGACGGGGACAGAGCAGGGCTTGGGGCCTGGATCCTGGGCAGGAGTCGTGGATGGTGCCTGGTCACTTGCTCTGCCTCTAAATTACACCCTGGGTCCCCTGGATCCCTTCTGCCGGAGCTCTCCTGAGCACTCCTGTTGGGGCCCGTGCGTAGACCCCCAGTCCCCTAAACAGGTGCACGGCGAAGGCTCACAGGAATGAGGCATGCGGCACGGTCTTTAGGGCTGCAGGGAGAGTGAGATCCTGGCACAGCTCCTAACTCTGCTGGCCAGCAGCAGACTGACCCAAGGACAAGCAAGGAGCTGAGTGGACCATGCAGGAAACTGAGCAGGATCTTGGGAGGGGTTCAAGGACCCCTCAGAGCAACAGAGGATGCTAATTAAGGAAAACCGTCCAGAAAGTCCCCAGGGAGCCTCAGCTGTGGCCTGTCTTGCTCCCAGGTGTCTCCCCGTTCTCAGTTCAGCCATGCCCGGCCACGCCACAGCCCTGCACGTGTGTTTGGCTTCAGCGGCTCCAACACCACCCGCACCCTCCTGCTGCACCTCACCGGAGCTTCCTGTGCTCCAGCCGGATCATAGGACCCCCTCTCTGCCCTGCTGGCTTCAGAGGAGTGTCCTGCCGAGCGGCTGGGCGGGTGCTGACTGGGCCCCCTTGAGCGTGCGCCTTCCTGCTGCCTGGCTCTGGGCAGCGTGGCTTTCGTGCATGTCTTGACATCTGACTGGCCCTCCTCCGCTTCTCCAGGTCCATCAGGCTTCCTTCCCAGGACCGGAAGGTGTGAGTCTGCAGCTCTCCGGGGCCATCCTGCGAGCCACTGGTAGTGCACACCTAGCTGATGGCCGAGGCCCGGTCTGCCTCACAGTGTTGCAGGCGGTCAGTTGTCGGGATGTGGAGAGACTCTCGATGCTGCAGGCTTGTGCTGGGGCACTGGCAGATTCTGTCTCGGGCCCCCAGGAACAGTCCTGACAGCACACAGCAGCTGAGACACCCTGAAGTTGGTCCTCAGCCCCAGAGGGTCCTGTCCTGCCTCCCCGCTCCCTGGGCTGTGTGAAAGGAACCATCTTGGTCACTTGTGTGATACAGTTTATTGTGCAACGCAGTTTCCTTTGTTTCTGTGTCCTTTGCTACAATGCCCCCCCCCACACACACACACATCCCTGGAGGCGAGTTCCGGCCTCCTGTGAGCCTGGCCCTGGGCCCAGCATGAGACACCGGTGCCTCCTGTGGCTGCTGGAGGAGAGGACGTGCAGAGGTCTTGGGGGGTTGGTTTGGGCGCAGGGTTGCAGTGATGCGGGTGTCTGACTGCCTCCCCTTTTGTCCCCAAAGTCACCCTGGACCCGAGGAACCCCCGACCTTGTCAGCCTTTCAGGGCCTCCAGGCCTCAGAGGCCCAGCTCGACCCTCCTGGCTCTTATGACTCAATTTCCACAGATAGCGGCTCTGGAAGCCGTGCAGAGCGATGGCACCCACTGCCGCAGCGCATCCGGGAAGGTGCAGAGACTTTTGCGAGATTGTAGGTTTCCTAGCCAACCTAGGAAGCTAACCGCAAATTGTAACATCCTTTTATGTAAAGATACATTGTAAATCCCTGAGACTTTCCACAAAGCTTTTGGAATCCAGCCTGCTCCCAGGAGACCTTGCTGCTTCATTTTCTACCCTCATCCTGCCCCAGGTCCGTTTTTTTCAGGCCCTGGCTTGGTCACAGCTTGCCATCTGTGGAGCCCTGCCTGGTCCCAGCCTCTGCAGCTCTCTAAACTGCATGCCTGGGCGTGCTCGGGCTCCTCCTGCTCTTGGTGTTGGGAGTGTCCAGCTGTCACCTTTAGGGCCACCCGAGGCTGCCTTTCCTCCCCCTGCATACGGCTGGGAGGGCTTGGATCCCCAAGTGGCCCTGGCCTTCCTAGAGCCCTGTGTCCTGTCATGTGTCCCATCCTATTTGGTTTCTGAGCCAGAATTGTCCTTCAGGACAGATGCTGTGTCTCAGACTTGTCACAGTGGGTGGCCCAGGAGTCACCCCCTGCTGCTGGAGTGCTGCAAGCCAGTGGCGAGGGGGGCAGAGTGCCTGTGGGGGGGGGGCAGGGCTGCTGGGAAGCCTTAGCTCCGGTTAGGAAGTGAGGGGCCGAGGATGGGCCTGGTGACAGGACCCTCCCCTGGCACGCACAGGCCCTGGATGGGGTGGGACTGACCTTCCTTTCCGTTTGGGGGTTTCTAGTGAGAGGATGCTTTAAATCTTGTTCTTGAATTTTATTTATTTGCTTTTGGTCTTCTCGGGGATGGAACTCGGGAGCTTGTGCTTGCAGCACATACCGACAGCGGGCCTCATGTGGAGTTGGTGCGTGCGCAGAACCTGTCTCAATTCGTTTTCCATCCCCCCACCCCGCCGCCTCCCTCCCTGGTCCCTTTTCCATCTGAGGATGATCGACCCGTGCCCCGTTTCCCATCGTCTATCTCTTGTCTTGCTGTTTGTTTGGACTTTGGGTTCTCCTGTAAGAGAAACCACGCGGTATTATAGCTTGTGCGTCTGATTTGCTTATTTATTCATTTTGGTTTCTTTTTCTTTATTTTATTTTATTTATTTATTTTTGTCCTTTTCCTTTTTATCGGTACCAGGGATCGAACTCACGACTGCCTGCTTGCAAGGCAGGCGCTTATGCCGCTGAGCTAAATCCGCAGCCCCATTCTTTATTTTATTATAAAGAGGAAAAAGAAAAGAAAAAGGAAAAGCAAGAGAGATATAAACAACTACAAGAACAACAAAAAACCTCCAACAGTAACAATACGGGCTTTCAGAACAGGATGACGGGAAACACCGGTGTTTGTAGACTCACATGCTGTCAGCCAGGAGGGTTGCTTGGGTCCCCAGAGGCTTCTGATTTATTTCACTTGGCATCGTGCTCTCAAGGTGCATCCTGTAACTACAAATGACTCAAAGGTCCTCTTTTTTGATGCACACGGTGATCACCTGTCATCGGCCATTCGTGCCTGTGCTGGTTTGTCCTTTATGGGAAGCATTGCCCCACGGAGTGTAAATACCACGGTGTCTTCACCTACCCACCGGCTGCGTACCCAGGCCGCTTCCCAGATTGCACTTTTGGGGGTTGTGCCGCTGTAAACGCAGGCGTGCGTGGACCCTGGAGTAGGGGCTCTGTGGCTCCTTGGTCTGGTGAGAATCCTAACTTGGGTGGCTCGAAGCCTCCAGCCGTGGGTGGCCAGCACAGATTCTGAGGAGCTCGCTCGGCTGTGGTCTTACAGATGCCTGCTCGGTGCCTGTGTCTGAGATCATCGCCGTGGAGGAGACCGAGGCGCAGGGGAAGCACTACACCAGTGGCCGGTGGCAGAGGATGGAGAAGCCGTTCGCGTTCACAGGTGACGCCCCTTCCACCCATCTTCCCGTAGCTGCATTGAGATGGCAGAGATGGGGACTCACTGTCACACTTTGACGGGCTCACTGGTTTGGTTTACCTTTATAAAACCTTCTTAGGCCATTTTCCCCTAAGATTACTCCCAGTTACTGTTTTTTGTTTGCTGATTGTCTTTTTGAAGTTTTAAAATATGGCCTAAATGAGCTGAAAAATAGTACATTTTTTGTAGGAGAGAACTCAACCAGGAGTAATGGCACACAGCTGTAATCCCAGCACTGTGGGAGGCTGAAGCAGGAGGGTTGTCATTTTGAATGTGGCCTGAGAAACACTTGGCGAGGCCCTTTCTCAAAATTTAAAAACAAACAGTAAGGTCTCGGGGTGCAGCTCAGTGCGTGATCCAGGGTTCCATCCCTGGTACCGCCAAAGAGCACGCATGAGAGGACCCCAGTAGGTGTGCGGCTGTGCACGTCCATTGGCCTGCCTGGGAGCTCTGCCCAGGGGCCGAGCAGTGGCCGTGGCCCTCACTAACACACTGGTCTCCTCACAGTGCACTGTGTGAAGCGCGCCCGGCATCACCGCTGGAAGTGGGCGCAGGTGACCTTCTGGAGCTCCGACGAGCAGCTGTGTCACCGGTGGCTGCAGACGCTGCGGGAGCTGCTGGCAGGGCTGAGTATGTGCCTTCCTGTCTCCAGGGGCCCCGGGTCTGACAGGAGTCCGTTTTACTTGTTTCTGAATTGACTAAGCCGGGTGTGGGGGCGCACGCCTGTAATCCCAGCATCTGGAGGCTGAGACAGGAGGATTGCTGTAAATTCAAGGCCAGCCTGGACTACAGAGTCCCTGTCTCAAAAATCCCAAAATAAACATAGTAAAAATAGGTTGCCTAATTAATGGGCAGTGCACTGCACAGCCAGGCATGGTGGGGAGCCCCCACCCCCAGCACAGCCCGAGGCAGAGCCCTCTGCCCTCAGAACAGGCTCGAGCTGAGTGGGGGATTGGACCTGGCTGAGGAGAAATTGCTTCCCAGCTCAGCTGCCGGCATGTCCACCTGTGCCCTGGGACAGAGCCTGTGGCCGTGGAAGGGCAGCGGTGGCTCTGGACCTGCAACACAGAGCTCCAGGGCTCTGTCACATCCTGCCTTCAGCTACAGCCTGGTGGCAGCCTGTGCGGGGCTCCCCTCGGTGCCCGTCCAGACAGTGGCGCTAGTGTCTTTGAGGACGCTCTCCCCTTCTCTGGGCTTCAGGCAGCTGCTGGCGGGTGGGCAGGGGATTTGGTTTCTGCCTTTCTCTTCTCTCCTGGGCACCCGGGGCCCACCACCTGCCGTCCACCTCATTTCCTGCCACGTGCGCTTCGCCTCAGTTTCCCCGCTTCTCCCTTGGTCTCTGGGCTCCTCCTCCCACCCACACCCGCTCTCCCTTCCCCCCTACATGCCTGCTGTCCCCCTGAGGCTTGGGGTCTCCAACACTTTGAGTCAGTTTTACGGACACCCTTGGAGACGTGGCTCTGTTCCTTCCGGTTCACAGGAATAACCATCTGTCTGCACGTGTGGTAGAGCCAGCTGGTGTCTAAAAAGAGCACGTGAGTCTCTAACTGCAGCTCCTCTGACTTTCCCTCCGACTGTCTGACCTGCTTTCACATCTCTTGAAGTACTTTGCAGGCACGGAGGGTGCTTGTGTCCTGAGTGTGTGCCCGCCGAGTGTTCTCACTGAGCACCCTGTCACAGCACCAGGCCTGTGCCTGCAGCCCCAGGCCCCCATCCTCCCCCCAGTGACTGCTCCCCTGAGGGCCGCATGACCCCGGCTTTCAAACCAGCTGAGCAATAACAGCTCCGGCTCTGGCCCTGAGCTGAGCCCTGTGTGTGTGAGCTGTGTCCAGCTCACCGGGCATGGTGCGGGTTGTCCCCCTCACAGCTGTGACCCAGTTCGCTGTAAAAGGTCACCTGGGCAGCATCCTGGACTGCCACCGGCAGTGATGCAGTGACCGTGCCTGCACTTCCTAGCGGGGGCCGGGAGTCCCAAGCGCCCCTGGGCACCACATCGCTGAGTTGCTTCTTCATCACCGACTGGCCAGTGGATGTCTTCTCCCTGGGGCTTCCATTCAGGTCCACGCGTTTGGCCGATCCTCTCTTCCCTTAGTGATGGGTAGAAACTCTTTACATTCTGTGGACCCGGATCTTTTTACTGAGCTGATGAATTCTAGACACCTCCTCCCGTCCCGTGGCTCGCCTTGCTGTCTGTCTTTCTGTCTTGGCCCCGTCCCTGTCTCTCTTCTCTTCCTCTCTCTGTCTCTCTCTCTCTCTGCACTGTCTCTGACTGTCCACTCTCTGTCCCCTCCCTGCTCTCCTGTACTAGGAGTTGAACATTGAACCCAGGGCCAGGCGTGTGCCGCTGAGCCCCACCCGGCACTGCATTTTCCACTTTGGGACAGAGACTTGCTGAGTTGAATCTCTGGCCCTCCCGCCCCAGGAGGCTTCCTTCCGGGCGGCACCAGCGTGCCGGCCTTGAGTCTCTTGGTGAGCAGAACGCTTAGGAGAGCACATCTTTTTCCGTTTTAAACTGTAAGGTGGGTCCTACTGAGGTGTGCTGGCCGCTGCGGGTCTCGGTGCTGGTCAGAGCTCTGTTGTTCCCGCTCGCCCCGAGCCCACGTCGTTCTGGAGTTGGTGTTTGCGCATGGGGCCAGGAAAGTGGCCCGAGTTCACTTTCCTTGGAGAAAGCTGTGGCAGGACCGTTCTCTCCCCCACCGCCGTTTTGGTTTTTATCGTATATTGCTTGTACGTAGAAGTTGAACAGAGCCCTGGGTCTGGCTTGCACCCAGTGACCTCGCTCCTGCGTGCTGGCCGTCAGGTGACTCCAGGAGTTCCTCTGGTCTCAGTCCAGCTGGCCGTGCGTGGTGACAGCTGCATTTCTTCTGCTCAGCTCTTCTTCTTTTGCCTTGGTTTTTGCCCAGGTGTGGACCAGTGATGTCACTGCAGTATGCAAAGTATCCAACATCTTGCCATTAAAAGTTCCTCCTACTCCTGGGAGGCTGAGGCAGGAGGACTGTGAGTTCCGTGTTGCCCGACAGGGCAGCGTAGTAAAAGCCCGTAGTAAGAGCCCGTATGTGAATAAAAAGGCCGGGCGGGATGTGGCTCAGTGGTTCGGCACTTGGCTGGCACACTCCAGCCCCTGGTTCCGTTCTTGGGACTGAAGGGGAGAAAGGAGTGTTTGTAGGTTTTTCTGACCTATTTTAATCAGAGGCTTGGTGCGGTGTCACAGGCCAGTCCCCAGCACACAGGAGGCGGAAGCAGGACGGTCACTGTGAGTTTGAGGCCAGCCTGGGCTACCTGGTGAGTTCATTACATAGTTCAGACCAGGCTGAACTACATTATAAGACCCTGTCCAAAAAAAAAAAAAAAAAGCCGGGGACATATCTCAGCAGCACAAGTGCCTACCTGGCAAGTGCAAGGTCCTGAGTTGGATTCCTGGCACCCACCCCCTCCAAATTCCCTGCTAATCCTAATTTTCTGAGGGTTTTGGTTTTTTAAGACCTAGATGGGTGCTGGGTTTGATGAGTGCTTTTTCCTCCCCTCGTCTCTTTCAGGATGAGAGAGACCTGTGTGTTTTGTGTTCACTCTTTGAGTTACCCACCGAGTGCCCAGAGAAAGCCCACTTTAACAGCCCAGGCCAGCTCCTGACACCGCCTTTGTTTAGGTGAACTGGGGCTGTGACCTGTGGGGCCACCTCGTCTGCTTTGCTGTCTGGGTCACAGGGGCCTCGCACGAACCCCTGGGGTCCCCCGTCCTCGTCCTGGAGGAGTCGAATGATATGGAGGTGGCTGAAGGAATTCCGTAGTGAACTCGGGGCAGCCTGAGCTTTCCCGGCAGGAAGGTTTTCTTAATGGCTTCGGGCTCTTTTTTTTTTTTTTAACGGGTACCAGGGATCGAACTCACAACCGCCTGCTTGCAAGGCAGGTGCTTATGCCGCTGAGCTAAATCCCCAGCCCCGGCTTTACCAGACTTTCTGTTTCCAGCGTTGTTGGTGAATCATGGCTTTGGAGAAGTTCATCGTTTCAGGTTTTAGATTTGCCAGCATGAACTGGTGATGAGTCCTTTCATTTTCTCTGTGACATTGGTAGCTTCCACGGTGGCCTCCCCTTCAAAGCTCGGGCGCCTGTGTTTTGTCCCTTTTGCACTGCTGGTTTTGTTAGGAATTTATCAGTATTAGGAATGTTTGCAGGAAAGCCAGCGTTTGGCCATACAGATTTTTCCTCTTGTAAATTTCCCCTGCATCCACCTCGAGCGCTGTGAAACTGAGATGCTACGAGAACACTGTGGTGGACACTCATGTGTGTTCCCTCTCTGTCCACTAATGGCTCGCCGTTCTTGCTGCCTTTCCGAGTAAGTGAGGCCGCCCCACTCTCACGTGTCCTTAGCCAGGGGCAGTGTTTGATCCGAAGCCCAGGGCTCAGCGCAACACAGCCTCTTGGGCGCTGTCCCTGTCATGGCCACAGCCCCCATGGGCCGGCCACGTCCCACCTGTGTGCTTGCCATCCCGGGCTGGGCAGGCGGGTCCTGCTCTTTGCCTGTGGGGACCAGTGCCAGGATAGGTAGGTGGGTCCAGGCTCACCCAAGGACACAGGCTTTCAACCTTCTTGTTACTTTTATTTGTTAGTTAGGTTTGTTGAGTGACAGAATCTATTTGACCTGTGGATTATGGGAGTTGCCCTAAGAAGATGGGGGGCTCAGGAAACCTTGGCGAAGGCTTCTGGCGGGTTTCTACAGGGACAGAGGCCACAGCCACGGGCCCAGTGCCCCCTCTCCCCCACATCGGGCTTTCTCCTGCATCTGCTGCTCTCTCCCCAGCCCCTTTCTGAACACCTGGTTCTCATCTCCTGCACCCCAGAAGTTCATCCTGGTCCCTCGAACAGGGGCCCCAGCTGCCCAGGCCCACACCTCACAGGCCTGGGGAACACGCTGTCCTTGCTGGAAGCCAGGGCCTTCCTTCCACCTAGCGGCCTGAGAGGGTCCTGTGGCCCCCGGGCTGTCGCTGTCCCTCGTCTCAGTCCTTTACTGTGTTGACATCCTTTCCTGGAGTCACGCTGCGCCGAGCTGGGCAGCCCTGTGCTCGTTTCCGTCCGGTGCACAGGGCGGGTCTGAGCTCGGTGCTCACCGCAGGCTCCCCCATGTGCTTACTCGTAGCCTGCAGACCCAAGCACTTGCTGGTGTTCATCAACCCGTTCGGAGGGAAGGGCCAAGGCAAGCAGATATATGAGAGGAAGGTGGCGCCTCTGTTCTCCCTGGCCTCCATCACCACCGACATCATCGGTAAGGCCGCCCCCGAGGCGGGCGCAGGTAAACCTGGGAGGGGTTCACACACAGTCACTGGAGAGCTGGGGGTGGCGGTGCGTGCCTGAATCCCAGCTCTCCGGAGGCCAAGGCCGGAGCAGCACCTTGAGGTCCAGGCCAGCCTGGGCTACACAGGGAGACCCTGTCTGAAAAAGCCAGACAAATACGTATATATATATAAGAGAAGACTTTATATGTATTAGAGAAGGTTTTTATCCTATAGGACTATTTTAAACAAAGTAGAATATTTTACCTACCAGAATAAGAAAAATAATGCCATCTTTCCTGTGAGTAGCGAGGTCTTAGCATAGAGAGTTCTGAAGCAAAATGCTAAGGTAAAAACACAGATAAGGGGCGGAGCTTTCCATAGTTCCTGCAGGAAGAGACTGGAGGGCCCACGCCTGGACACTGCACCGGCCCTGGGTGGCGCTTTAAGGAGTTTAACACGCCCTGGTGCATGCCCATGCCCTGGTGCATGCCCATGCCCGGTGCCACCCCCGCAGGACCCCACGGGGTTTCCTGTGATGGATGGAAAGCCTCAGGCCATGCAGGTGGGGCTCCTGACACCTTTTGCCCTCCATGTGTGTTTTCTAAGCTGTCCCTAGAACCAGGCGCTGTCCCCAGGCCTGGGAGACACAGCCGCCCCTGCCAGCCTTGGGTGTGTGGGGTGCCCACGGGGCCGGGCAGGTGGAGCGCAGCACCCGGGGCCACAGGAAGTCCTGAGCCAGGACTGCGCTACAGAGGCTTTAGGGCTTGTGCCGCCCGAGGGGCGCAGGGGCTGGGGCGGGCAGGCTGCACCTGATGCCTGCTGAAGTCCGGAGAGGAACCTGCTGTGCAGGAGGGGAAGGCGCGGCACAGAGGTGTCAGTGCTGGGAGAGGTCACTGGCTCACAGCTCAGTGCCCAGAGTGCCCGGGGTCCTTACGGGGCCCCCACCATGCCCTGTTGTCTCCCACAGTCACTGAGCACGCGAACCAGGCCAAGGAGACCCTGTACGAGATCAGCCTAGACACGTACGACGGGTGAGTAGGCGCCCTTCCCTGGCAGAGCCCGGGGCACGCGGGGACCTCGGGTCCCACTTAGCCCCCGCGAGGCAGCGGCCCCCATGCCTTTTCCCCTCAAGACTTTTTCCTGCAGCGCCGTCTCTGCGTGGGGAAAAGCAGCCGATTGCAGGGTCTCAGGAAGCGGAGCCGAGCCACTTTCATGGTTTAGCTCCGGCTTTCCTGTCACTACCTTTGGAGCCACGTCCTGTCATTAGAGACTTCCCCCAGACTCTGCTTTCTGTCACATCCACATCTGGGAGTTCTGCAACACTTTACTCATTTCTTACTTCTCCCTGTACCTGTGGAGGCTCTTTCCAATTTTTCTCTTAAAATGGGAGCCTTCTTGTGTGTAACTCTGTCTGCCTGTACCGATTTTGAAGGTCCTTTTCTTCCCAGCGCTGGCCTGCGCGCTCTCCCTGGACTCTGTGGTTCTCACCCTGTGTCCCTGCTGTGTGCGCCAGCATCCTGGTATCGTCACTCTCACAGTCCTCCCTGAATTGGACTTGTGAACATCTTTAATTTTTTTTTAGAAATGTGTTTATCTGCAAACTGATTTTCTGCTTTGAATTGATTTTTATGTTCTTGGTGCAGTTTCTGTGAGCCAAGTTAAGTTGTTTGTTCTTTTATCCAACAAGCCATAGGTGATTCGTAACCTGTTGTCATATTTTTTTGCAAATCTTTTTTCTGGTTTTTAAACTGTCCTTTAATTTTGCTCTGGCATTATGTGTAGTTTCCACCTGTATGCACTGTGTTCACCGTAAGCTGTTCTGAGTGCTTAGACTTTCTTCCTTCGTCCCAGGTTTAACTACACTCTATCACTGTTTGCTTTGTAATCGCTGGGCTTTGTGGTTTCATCTCTCGGTTGGCTCTCGGGACGTGCAGGTGATGTGTAATACATTGAAAGTGAATTTCTAAAGATCAGGACTCATTCTGTGGAGCTTGCTGAAGGGCTGTCAAGCCCGGCCTGGGGTCCTGAAGTCAGAAAGGGAGTGAAGGTCCCTCAGTCCGGCAGCGAGCTGATGCTGGAGGCCTCTCCTCCCCTCCCCACCAAGCTCTGCAGGAGAGCTCAGCAAGCCCCTGGCCTGCGGAGTTCACCCCACATCAGGACTCACGTGAGCTGCAATGTCACGGGTAGAGCTGGGTCACCCAGCCACCGTTCGTGGCCAAGGGGCCAGGGGTCTGCAGCCCTGGAGCTGGGGCCTGGGTGTGGTCCGTGAGCACTGCTGAGTGCCCCACGGGTGTGGCAGGCATCACTGCACTCTCCAGGACCTGAGCCACAGCCCCTGTCCTTGAAACCATAGTGACCCAGGGGCAGGCACAGGCACAGTGACAAGGTGGCCAGGGGTACATCCAAAAGTGTGCTTCATGACCCAGCCCTGGAGGCTGCCCTTAGTCCTATGCCCAGCACACAGCCAGGCACTCTGACCACTGTCCCTTAGGTCCCTTAAGCCCTGCCCTTGCAGCCACGGTGCAGCCAGCTCCTCAGTGCCGAGCCTCTGCTTCACCAGGGAGCTCTGGGCTTGCCCTGGGCTCTGAGCGCGCCCCCTGCCTCCTCTCTCTGACCATTGCTCTGCTCTGGTCACGCCCAGCCCGGCGGCTCTCTGCAGCCCACCACCTGCCTCTGCCAGCGATTTGCGCTGTGAGCATAGAGCTGTCCTCCCAGGGAAAGTCGGTCACTGCACCAGGCCAGGTCAGGCAAGTTGAGGATGCTGCGTGCACGGGGTCTCCAACCCTGTCCTCCCATGAGGGCCTGCCTGGTACCCTCGATGCAGTGGCAGGTCTGCCCTGCTGGGAGGTTGGTTTTACTTTTTACTCGTCTTGGCTTTTGCAGTGCTGGAGCTCCAACCTGGGATCTCCTGCATGCCAGCTTGTCCCTGGCTGCACTCCAGCCCGCGTTGGGGCTTTGATGGAACTGGCCAGGGGCTCTCATATGTCCGGCTCCACCTGGAAACCCCAGATGTCCCCGCTCCCTGAAGTTGGGCCGGGTGTGGTGTGGGTCCTGTGGCTGGCGGGGCTTTCTGAGAGCCTCAGTCCCAGACACCTGCCGCACCCGACCTTGGGAGCTGTTCTGATGCTGGCGGCCGTGGCCGCCCTGTGTGAACTACACTGGGCGCTGATGACCTGTGTCCCCGCAGCCTCGTCTGTGTGGGTGGTGACGGCACGTTCAGTGAGCTGCTGCATGGTCTCATTGGGCGGACACAGAGGAACGCCGGTGTGGACCAGAACCACCCCCGGGCCACGCTGGTGCCCAGCGCCCTGAGGATTGGCATCATCCCTGCAGGTGAGGTGCGCATGGCTTTCCTCGTCCCTGTCCTTGGGGAGGATATGTGTCGTCCACGGTGCTCGGCACACCAGGACAGGACCGGATTCCTGGGACTGGCCTCTCTGTTTCCCTGGAACCTCCTTGCTGTGTGGAAACTGGACTTTTGTCACCATCCAGGGAGCTGAGTGCTGCCAGGATCTGTGTCCTGGGCCCTAGCACCACACCATCGATCCGAGCCCCCAGCAGCGGATGGAGTAAAAGTGACCGTGGCTGGTGGGGGCCCGTGGGGCTGAGCCACCTGGTGCATGGGCCAGGCAGGTGGCAGTTCTGGGGTGGCTTCTGGAAAGGTGACCTCAGCTGATGTTAGGGAATAGGAACTGGGGTGGTGTACACAGGAGTCCTGGGGGAAGGGGTGAGTGGGGGTGGAGAGGAAAAGCAGTGGGGACTCACAGGCCCCCCTGGCTTCGTGGGTGCCTGGACTGTGTCCTGATGTGTCCCCCTGATGGTGCAGCCACTACCTTGCAGGGAGCACCGGTTCCTGGGGCAGTTTTGGTGTTAACCCCGGGTGCTGCTGTCCCTACCTCTGCAGGCGGCCTCCCCTACCCCTGATGACCCATCCCTGCCCTTGTTGCTTGGACACTGGCAAAGCCTCCCGCAGACGCAGCGTGATGTACTTTCCACAGTCAGTCCCATGACTGTCCCATGCATGGTGCAAACCGGAAGCCCTGTAGGAGGTCAAGCTGGGCAGGCAGGGACACAGACAGGAGGTTGAGCATCCCAGGAGGGATGCCCTCTCCGCTGTCACTGCTGCACCAGCTTCTTACCAAGTCTCCAGGACAGGGACTCACCCTTTAAACTCCGCCCTCAAAACCCCATCTGGTGACAGATCCTGTGAGTCATGGTGCCGGTCACCTTGTCCACTTGGTGGAGGCCTCAGGGATGACTTCAGGACAGAGACTCATCTTTAACAGGATTTCTGTTAGCCTCGTGGCCTGTGAGTGTGATCATTTTAGGCTGATAACGATCTCAGTTTTAATTATGCATAAGCAGAGCATCAAGGAAGTCGCCGTAGCTGTGGGGCAAGTTCTGAAGGGACATTACTTAGTGTCACTGGCCTGGATGAGCACGCAGCCACTCCTGGGGACCAGGCCCGTCAGGAAGGCCTGGCTGGGGCAGAGGGAAGCACTCGACTGACCCCTTGCAGTAAAGCCGAGGTCTTCAAGCTGTCCCCAGGGGTCTGAGCAGAGCCCTGTGGGGTTCACGTAAGGCTTTAGGAGTGGGTGGCAGGGGTGTGGGTGGGGCCCTGGCACAGAGGCCCCACAGCTGTCCTGCGGTGGGCAGAGCCCCTCTGCTGAGTGCTTGCAGTGTCTGCATGCACCCGCTCGCCTTGCTGGCTGGTGCTGGTCCAGAGGGCTTTCCGCTTCTTCAGGTGGCCAGATGCTGTGCCACGTGAGTCCCTGTGCCCCTGAGGTCAGTGGCCTCACCCGCCTTCCTCTCTGTGTGGCTTCCGTGCCACTGAAGCCTGGGCGCCGGTGACGTCCGTGTGCACACCCTGGCCCGGAGTCCCAGTGCTCCCTTGGTCTCCCCGTGATGGACACATTCTCCTGGCCGGCCGTGAGGTCTGATTCCGTCAGCCCGTGGGGCTGCTGTGTCCTGGCCTCTCGGTTTGTGCTTCTGTCCCTTCCCGGAGCCCCAGCCGCCTCATTCCATCTGGGCTGCCCCAAACCCTTCCCACCGGCTCTGCTTCCCTTTCTGTCTGACCCTAGGACTTTGGACAGCTCTCACCCTGGAGTGGGTTGTGTGTTACAACTGTCTTCAAGTTAGGTGTTGTTTGTTGGTTTGTTTTTGAGACAGGATCTCACTACGCAGTCCAGGCTGGCCTTGAACTCACTACCTAGCTCGGGCTGGCCTCAGACTCACAGTGATCCTCCTGCCTCAGCCTCCTGAAGGACATAGGCATGTACCACTGCTTGATCTTTTTTTTTTTTTTTTTGGTCTTTTTCCTTTTTATCGGTACCAGGACCACTGCTTGATCATGCCCAGAAAGTCAAGTTAGGTTTTTGTCTGTTAACGCTGCCTGTGTTGTGCTCACGATGACATGAATTTAATTTTCCTGTACTCTAAATTATTTTTCCCGTGAGGCTCTTACCTTGTTTACGAGAAGTTTGCAGGTGGTGTGCAGAAACCTAAACCCTGAGCCACTGCAGCTGAGAGCAGACTACACAGCTAGCGGAACAGAGGGGCCCGCAGTGTCACCGCAGTCAGGAGGCTGAGGCAGTCATGTGCTCAGAGAGTGGGGGTGGGGCAGCTGGAGCGGAGGGTGTCCAGGTCAGGGCAGCAAGGGCATCTGGGTGGGGTCCCCCTCGAGGAGGACCTTGTGAGACCCTGCCGTGCAGTGTGGGAGTCTCCCTGGGGAAGGGACACTTGACTGCCCTCAGATCCCTCCCTGCATTTGGTTCCAAGAGCTGAAGGAAGTGTTGGTCCAGCCCCAGGAGAATCCGGTGACCTGGACCCTGGCTGGGGCTCTCGGTGTCTCTGCACTCCATGTGGCTCTGGGCAACTTGGCAGGGACTTGGGGCAGGGAGGGGAGCACCAAGAGCTGCCCCCTGATCCCAGCCTTGCCAGCCTGGGAGATGGGGTAGGGGCCAGAGGAAATCACTGTCCAAGTCCACGTTAACAGCTTGAGCAGGTCGGGGACCTGTGCGGCTGCCCCCTTTTCTTTGTCCTGGGGATTGAGCCAGGACTCGCCTAGTGGGCGCAGTTGCTGGACCTGTGGAGGCAGTGAGGGCTGCACCCCCGTCCAGGCCTTGCAGGGTGGGAAGTGGCTGTCCCCGCGGCAGGGGTTTCTCAGGGGCCCAGCTACAGGCGGCCTGCGATGTGCAGGGCTGAGCCCTGGCCGCTCAGTGGACACCACTGTACAGTATGTGGTTCCGGGAATTGAACCCAGTGCTGGTTTTTTTCTCTGTTTCTTTTTGAGACAGGGTCTCTCTATGAAGTTCAGGCTGGCCTTGAGCTCACTTTGTAAGCCAGTCTGGTCTCAGAACTCACAATGATCCTCCTGCCTCAGCCTCCCGAGTGCTGGGATTACAGGAGTGTGCCACCACCTCTGGCTAAGCCCAGGGCTTTTGCACTTGACTACATCCCCAGCCTTTTTAAAAGTCTGAGGCAGGGTCCCACTAAGTTTGTGCGTTGCCCATGCTGAGCTTGAGTTAGTGATCCTCCTGCCTCAGCCTCCCTAAGTGTTGGGCTTACAGGTGTGCACCGCCAGGCTGTTCACTGCTCTTATTTACTCTGGGGCTGTGGAAAGAGAGCACAGGGCGCCCTCACTCAGCAGGGAGGCCCAGCTTTCCAGTTCTAGGCTTTTCGGTGACACCACGGTCCTTCCTTCCTTGCAGGTTCGACGGATTGTGTGTGCTATTCCACCATGGGCACAAATGATGCGGAGACGTCTGCTCTGCACATCGTGGTCGGTGAGTCCTGCTCGGCGCTGAGCCAAAGTGCAGACCCGGGCCCAATCCACGCCCAGAGCCCCCACACTTGTGCCTGCCACTGCCCATTCCACGGGCTCCCCGGGTGTCCCCCGGGAGTGCCAGCCCCTCTGTGTTATTGTCCCCTGAGGACTCTGTCCACGACATCACCCCCGCTTCCACGTGTACCCAGTGGCTCTGCTGGATGCCCGCTGTCCCGAGGGCAGGAAGTAGCCTGTGTCCTCTGTGCTTGCCAGGCAGGCACTTATGCCACTGGGCTAAATGCCCAGCCCCAATCCTCGTCCCTCTTTAAAGGGAACCCCGTGTCACTTGGCATTTGCAGAAACGTTCTGTTCAGAAGTGGCCATGTAGGGGCATTTTTTCTTTGTTATTAAAGACCAGGTGTTGCTGTGCAGTTCAGATGGCTTTTGAACACGCAGCAGCCCTCCTATCTCAGCCTCCTGAAGGCTGGGGATACAGGAGTGTGCCACCACGTCCTCTGGAGTCTGTATCTTTAAATGTTGTGTACTTTTCCTGTCAGGGCCACTTCCTCTCGGTAGTGACATTAAGGCCTTGTGGGTATATTCTTGTCCTCTTGCCGAGAATGTTTTGGAGGTTTGAGTCACGGGGTGGCCTTTGAATCAGAATCAGAGCAGGCAGGGATGGTGGCATTTGGGTTGACAGCTTGGCTGCGCCCCCGATGCACAGCCTTCACCGTGGCGCTGTCCCGCAGGGGACTCGCTGCCCATGGACGTGTCCTCGGTGCACCACAACAGCACACTCCTGCGATACTCAGTGTCCCTGCTGGGCTATGGCTTCTATGGGGACGTGATCAAGGACAGCGAGAGGAAGCGGTGGATGGGGCTGGCCAGGTACGACTTCTCAGGTGAGTCGGGGCGGCATGCCATGTGGACACTGCCATCCGTGTTGCAGACGCCATCTGACTTCACCCACAAAGCCCCGCTCCCCCGCATGGGTGGCAGTGGTGCGGTCACCCAAATCTGTTCCTGGGACCCAAACCTGAGTCACCTCACACCCCGGGGAGGCATCTGGAAAGTGCGATGAAACAGAGGAGGAAGTTAGACTGGGGAAATGTGTCTCCCCATCATGTGGAGCTGGTGGCGTGGCTGGAGTCGGCCTGCGCTGGGGAGCCCCTTCCCCTGCTGCTGCCCCAGGCTGGGCTCAGGGCTGCCACACAGAGGCCCTGGGCTGATTGTCCCAGCACATGCATCTGTCTCCCCTGCACAACCAGGTAAAGCCCAGCCCGACTGGACATCTCTGGGTCTCAGCCTTGGTGGCTATCAGTGTCCCCAGGGAGCGTCAGAATCCATGCCCTGCACTGTCCCGATCGTCACGCAACAGGAAGTGACCACATGTGGGGAGGGCAAACCCCTGCAGCTCCCTCTAGGGGCCAGAGAGCTCCACTCCTTCCCACCTGCAGGCCAAGGCTCCCTGCATGCTTGGTGACATCAGCCACAGGAGCTACTGTCCTTTGTGGCCTGTCGTGACCCTGTATGTTTCCTCCCGGCCACTCTCTGTCCCAGGTGTCAAGACGTTTCTGTCGCATCACTACTATGAAGGGACGGTGTCCTTCCTGCCCGCACAGCACACTGTAGGGTCGCCGCGGGACAAGAAGCCCTGCCGGGCAGGGTGAGTGCACCCCACCATTGTCCTGGGTTGGGGCTGTCCGGGCCTTTGCTCCTGCGCTGAAGTGATGCTGCAGGTATTGGGTCTCCGCGGGGTGCAGGAGTCACACGCTCACTCTCCAGGCCCGTGACATGTGTGGCAGCCTGGCTCCAGTGCAGACTTGGTAGAGCAGGGCTGCTGTGGGCCAGGGCCTGTCACTCTGGAGTGAGGATGACAGCGGAGCGCTGGCTTTGAACCTGGTGGCTCAGCGGGTGGAAGGGCGTGGGAGGAAGCAGGAGAGTCGGAGGGTGCTGTGTCAGCAGCCAGCCAGGAAGGCTGCAGCCCGACCTGCTGCAGGCAGAGACCCTCTTCCCTACTCTACCCCAGGGGAGCCCCTCCAGCATTTTGTCCCTCCCCAGGTGGGACTCCCCAGGTCGGGCCTGGTTGGGGGACCCTAGCCCGGCCCCAAGTCCCTCAGAATGCGAGAGGGCGCTGGATCTGAGTGGACAGGGCAGAGCAGTGCTGGGAGGGGACACGGAGGAGGCCGAGGTACAGCTGGGGCAGCTGGCAGGCCGGGCCGCTTGCAGGCCTGGTGGGCCCCACCCTGTGTACACTCGGGCATGTGTGCGTGCATCAGTGAGCCCCCTCCGCACACAGTGCAGAGCTGATGACATTGAGCCCATTACAACACCGTCGCCAGCCTTGCACGCATCCCCAGGCTGCACAGCCTCGTCAGTGACAGTCTGTCCCCGGACCTGGCGACTGTCCTTGCCTCGTCCCCGTCCTCGCTCCTCCTGTAAGTGCAGCCTTGAGCACTGCAGCCGTGACTCAGTTATTGAGGAGCCCATTTCCTAGGGTGGGGCTGGTCTGTGTGGGGTGCGGCTCCAGGCTCATGGCTGAGTTCCCAGCACCCCAAGTTGGTCCTTTGCTTGTCACTATTGGAAACAGGCACTCTGTCACCGCACGTTGCCTGTGAGGACGTGTGCACCCACCTGGCCGCTGGGTCCAGTGTGTGGCCTCATGTGACACACACAATATTTACCAGCTTTGGAGAGGAACGTGGTGATGCATGGGTGGATTTAAAAGTCGATCTAAGTTTGAAAGCTCAGACGTGAGCACTAAAGGAAGCGCTTCCCTGAGCCTTTGAAACTTAACCGTCTGTTACAGGGAAAGACGGCAGTGCTCCTACAGAGGCCAGCACTGTCCTTCAGGGCCACATCCACTCATCAGGGCAGGTGACCCTGTTCTTGTCTTCCAGGTGCTTCGTGTGCAGGCAGAGCAAGCGCCAGCTGGAGGAGGAGCAGAAGAAGGCTCTGTACGGCCTGGAAAACACCGGTAATTCCCGTGGACGTGTTTCCGCGTGAGCCGGGCTCGCCGCGTGAGCTCCCTCTGCTTTCTCTCTCTCTCTTGCTCTGTGCCTCCATTTCCGCCCCAGCACTGGGCAGCCTCAGGTCATTCATTGCCACTTAGCGACTCTGGCACCCTGTGCTGCAGCCACTGCCATGAGGTTCGGCCCAGGCCCCGGCCTCCTGCAATAGAGCCGAGGCTCAGCTGACCTGTTCGGGCTGCACTGGAGGAGCAGCCAAGCTGTGCCAGCCTGTGGGGCCTCTGTCCCCTCAGACAGAGTCTAGTGGAGCAGGCCCGGCTGCCTGCCCAGCAGACCTCAGCTCCGGGTTCGAAGCCTGAATTTCATGGCATCTTCCTGTCACAAAGCCTTGTGATCTTCTCCAGCTGTTTAAAACGTGGGCGCCATTCCAGGCTCATAGGCTGCTGCCCACAGTCAGAGGGTGGCCGACCCCGTTCTGAGTCTGTCCCCTGGGAGCAGTGGCTAGCACAGTGGGGTCTTCCGGGAGGGGACCCCTTGGACCCAGCGCTCAGTGCCTCTCCCTGGGCTGGGACCGCTGAGGGTGCTGCATGGGAGGCAGGCTGAGTGTCGGTCCAGAGAGAGCGTGTGGGGGGACTTCCGCTGCCCTGTGCACCCGGCGGTGACATCTGCCTGCTTCCTCCCTGCCTCAGAGGAGGTGGAGGAGTGGCAGGTCATCTGCGGGAAGTTCCTGGCCATCAACTCCACAAACATGTGCTGCGCATGTTCCCGGAGCCCCAGCGGCCTGTCCCCAGCGGCCCACCTGGGAGACGGGTCCGCCGACCTCATCCTCATCCGGAAGTGCTCCCGCTTCGACTTCCTGCGGTTCCTCATCAGGCACACAAACCGGGACGATCAGGTGGGCTCCTTGGTCTCTTCTGTTTGGGCACCGTCTGTGTAGGCCATCCAGGGGGCCGTGGTTTCTCTGGGAGGGAGGGGGAAATCGCGTGGTTTCCGTGTCTCTAGTTTGTTTTTTGTTTTTTGGGTTTTTTTTTGTCTTTTTCTTTTTTATTGGTACGGGGATCGAACTCACAACTGCCTGCTTTCAAGGCAGGTGCTTATGCCGCTGAGCTAAATCCCCAGCCCATCGTGTCTCTAGTTTTAAACTGCTGGTCATGTTACTCCTGGTCAGAATACATTAGTGTAAATCTCGCAGCTGTCATCTCAGTGCTGGGAGGCCGAGGCAGGATTGCCTTGAGTTCAGGGTTAGCCCCAACTGTGCGCTGAGACCCTGTCTCAAAAACAACAACAACAAACACCCCAGAAATCTGCACACCATCAGCAGGAGCTGTGAGCGCTTCTGCTTACCTGTGCTCCCTCCCTGGAGCTCTGGCCACTGCCTGGGTGGTCCTGGGTGCCACCTGGTGTCCAACAGAGTAGGAGGCCCAGCCGGGCCACCCGGGTACAGGGTGGGCGCGCAGCGGGCAGTCGGCGGCCCCCGGGATCAGCTTTCCCGTGCGCCTCCCCCTGCAGTTTGACTTCGCCTTTGTGGAAGTTTACCGCGTCAAGAGATTCCAGTTCACCTCGAAGCACACGGAGGAGGAGGACAGCGACCTCACGGAGCGGGGCAAGCAGCGGTTCAGGCAGATCTGCACCAACAGCCCCTCGTGCTGCTGTGCAGCCCGCAGCAGCTCCTGGAACTGCGACGGGGAGGTGCTGCACAGCCCCTCCATCGACGTCAGGTGAGCGGGCACCCCAAAGCGTGCCATGGGCTGCAGATGCCACCCGGCCCTCCACACCTGTGACAGCCAGGGCCCAAGTCACCGTGGCTCCCCTCATCCTGTTCCCCAGATGTTGAAGACGGACTTTCTCTGGTTTGGGGTTGGGGGTGCATCGTGTTTCCCAGCTATGGTGCCCAGGCTTCGAAGTGCCCCCCCGATCCCGTTCTCTTTCCTGGCCCCCCCTTGCCCAGGGCTGTTGTGGGTCTCTGCTCTGGCAGTTTTTCCTCTGTGGCTGAATTCAGAGCAAACGTAGCCCATCTATGCAGGCTTCCTGTTCCCCTGAGCCCACCAGCTGATGTGGGGTCTGGTTGTGCCCGGGGCACAGGGGATGGAGGTGGCCCTGGAGGCAAAGGGGACCCGGATAGCGGTGGTTGGGCCCAGAAGGTCTTGTGTTCTGGCCATAGTGAGACCCTCTTATTGTCCTCTTTGCAGTCTGGGAAGTTTATATTTATAATCCCGAGGGACCATGTTCGGCGTCCTGGAGAGTTAATTTTACTCTGTCACCTCCAATGCAACTGGGGTGAGAATAAAGACACTGAGTTACGGGCAGCCAAAGGTCCTGAGTCTGGGCCAGCCGAGGGCTCACCCAGAATTTTTTATTGTGAAGAAGGAAGTGGTTCGGGACGAGTGACAGTGAGGGTGGTGTGAGTGCGAGGGCCCGGCTGGCACGGAGGCCGCAGGCACCCCTGCGTTGTGCAGAGACAGGGAACAGCAGAGAGCCCGATCCGCGTGACACAGCGGAGGCAGCCTCTAATGTTTGGGGCCGGTGCTTTGTCCTGCGAGTCTGGGAGCATTGGCTCTGTTACCTCGCCGTGCTTAACCGTTTAGAACGTGCGATTGCTGCGTGGCTTTGAAGATTACCCATCAGCACCTCCACCTGCCCTGTGTGTGTTGCTTAGAGCCAACTAAAGGGAAAGGAAGCAGCTTACCCAGCTCTGTGTATGTGGAACGGGGCCGGGTTCAGCCAGCGGAGGTTATTGTTCTGTATTCAAGAAGAGCCATCCGTGTGGCCTTGTACAAAGCCCATTGGAGGGCGGGTCAGAGCCGCCCTGGGCCAGCACATGGGGCAAATGGGCACCCCGGGCCCCGGGCACAGTGCAGCGCCAGGCCTGCCCTGGTGGCTGCCCGTGGGGTATGGGAGTTTATCTTCCCTGAACCAAGGCTTGGCCTTGGCACCCGTGGGACCACCGAGTGTGTTGGCACAGCCCTCCCGGGTGGACTTGTGTGCACTGAGGGCTCCCTCCCCGTGGAGACCCCAGCAGCAGGGCTCTGAGTCAGCTGCGGGCGTGAGGACGCCGAGCCTAGGAGCAGTGTGCAGCTCTGGGTGGCGTCTGAAGCTGGGGGAGAGCACAAGGAGGTCACTTCCAGGGAGCAGTCTCAGCCACCAGCAGGTCCCTGTGCCACCCCGTTCTGTGGCTGAGTGGTCACAGTGCTAGGTTAGAGGCCTCCCCTCCTTAGCACCAAGTGACACAGGCGGAGGGGCAGGAGGCCTTGGGGGCTCCTCCACAGTCTGGGGTCCACTGCTCCTGTTCCTTCCGGCCCATGTGGCAGTGAGCACCCGGAGTCCTGTGAGGCCTGTGGACCTGCAGGGGCCCTAGGAAGCCCTGCAGGCCAGCCTTGGTATACACAGGGACCAGCCTTTAACTCACTCTACAAGTTTGGGAAATCAGTTTATTATTATTATGTTGAGGTACTGGGGGTTGAACCCAAGGGGTGCTGTTCAGCTGAGCTACACCCCTTCTTATTTCAAGATAGTTATAGTAAATTGCTCAGGTAGGGCTGGAACTTGTGATCTTCCTGACTCAGCCTCCCTCAGTGCTGGGGTTACAGGCCTATGATTACACCATACCTGACTCATAAAATTATTTTTCGACGTTGGCTTATGTTTTTATTAAAGAGAGAGCATGCTTTCAACATTAAAGGCATTCTTGAGGAGCTTGTGCTGTCTTGAATAAGAAATAAAAAGGGCTGTCTAACGTTGTGGGGGACCGTCAGCTCCAGGGCCTCAGGCCGGGCAGGGACCTCCAGGACCCCGACCCACCCTTCCATCCTGGGCTCCTCCTGTCCTCACACATGCAGTTGTCCTGCATTGTGACCCCAGGGCCAGTGGCCTTGGTGCTGAGAGGGAAATCGAGGCAAACAGTGCATGCACAGTGGATTTGCCAGTGCACTGGGATCTGAGGTCCTGGTCTGCCCAGCGTGGTGGAGGGGATCACCGTGGCCTGGTGGGGCACGCGCTGAGCCTGCTGCCTGGTGCTTTGTCTGCAGGGTCCACTGCCAGCTGGTCCGACTCTTCGCCCGAGGAATTGAGGAGACCCCCAAGCAGGAATCGGATAGCTGAGGATCTGCTAAGACGTCACCCACCTCACACCTGGACAGACAGAAGATTGCTGCAGGCCAGTTACGTGGAGCTATATATAGATACATCTCCAGTTAGAAGTTTATTTTTGATAGGTAAATCTTGGTTTTAGGGAAAACTCCCTGGTCTGCAATTTTGTGCACATGTCTGTTGCCTGAAGTTCCCGGGATTCTGCGAACAGCGCTGGCCAACATGGGGTGTCGGCATCTTACATTTTAAGGATCCCAGCAACGCAGGTGGAAAACAGCTCTTTGGTGGCTCCATTGCAATAATTTTAGAGACATCGTAATAGGAGCGCTGTCCAAACACCAGGTCAGCCCATCTGGACAGGGTAACCGCCACGCCCGTCTGACCTGCTCCGCAGAGCTTGTTCCAGGAACTGTTGGTGGCATGTCGTCTGCACAAGCCGGTGAGCCCCGGCTCCGTCTTCCCATCCACCCTCCGCTGTGATCAGACTTCGCAGTGTGACTCTCGCTGAGCCGGGCGGCCCCCTGGCTCACAGCAGCACTCGGCAGCCCCTGCCACTGAGAGGCACAGGGCAACACGTGGCAGCGGCATCTGCGTGACAATCTAGTGGGAGCAGCCCAGGGTGCTGGGCTCTGCAGAGGGACCGGGGCTGTCCAGCCCCACGGTGACAGTGTGGCTAGCACAGCTGGCCTGTGCAGGGGACGGAATGTAGCTGGTGGGAAATTCACAGGGAGCGAAGGCTGTGTGGACTTCACAGTGAAGGCCCCTGCCTTTTGGGGACCCTGGGGGTCCCCCATTCCAGCAGGGTTGCTTTGGTACAGGCCCTGCCGGTGCAGAGTTCCAATTTGTGCTTATTTATTGGGAGTCTCATCCTCAACAATCTGAAGAGCATCAGTGCTGGCTGGCTGTTTAGTATCTGTGCTCCAGGGGACCGCTGCATCCTGCTGGGCCCGGCTAGGCCTCTCGAGCTGTGGGTGGGCCTCAGCTGGGTGCCTGGCTTTCCTCTGCCTTCAGGCTGTGAGTCTGATAAGATGTATGGAAAGTAGTCTTATTTGAAGTATAAGAATGTGCCGCTTAAACTTGACCCGAGTTGGGTCCCTGAGTGGGGTCTCGCACAGCTCCCTGCAGGGCAAGGGCCTGCACGGGGTCCCCTAGTAGCTGTAGCACTTGACAGACAGCAGCTATTTTTAGAATTTCTTGCATTGATCTTAAAAGCATCTATGAAATTTCCTGTTTCACCATTCAGTCCCACCTGGACCAAAAGGCAGCTTTCAAGGGGGATTTTTGTTTTTCTTTTTTTTGGTACTGGGACTCAAACTTCTGACCTCGCCCGTGCCAGGCAGGCAAGGTGGCTCTTCACAGGTAATCCTGTGAGTCAGGGGGTGTGAGAAGCGGTGCTTGAGTGAAGTCTTGGTAGAAACAGGAAACACACTGCTGTTCCCTTCACATTTGTCCCGGCTTGGGGGAAATGGGGGTCGGGCTGGCGGTTCCTCGTGGGCCTGGACCTCTGTGCCCAGCGTTGTGTGTGCACCCTGGGGCCCAGCTGGCGCCTGCTACCCTCAGGGTGTCCCAGCATCCCTGGAAGCCTTGGAGCAGGGACCCAGGCCAGAGCTGCTTCCCGGCCGGAGGCTGTGCTCACCATCCCGGTGCTCACAGGCGTCCGGGCTCCTCTTGAGTCTCCGGGCACCAGGGGACCGCTGCACCCCCGAGCGGGAGGAGAAGGTGGTGTTGGGCCAGGGTCCTTGGGTGGTGGGTTTGTGGGTGCTGGGGCGCACGCTGGAAGTGCCAGGGGGAGACAGCACCGAGTCTCTCTAATCTTGCTGGTTTCAAGATTAGAATATACTGTATTCGCTCTGATGTGTTTGAGAAGGCAAAAATAAAGTTACTTTGGGCAGAATTTGGCATTTTTTTTTTCTTTCAGTTCACACTCTTGTCAAAGCAGAACGTTGTTCATGAAGACATGTGGACGGCTTAAAGAATAAAAACAAAGCCCACAAGTGTGTTGCTGTCTCTCCCGTCATTGGGGCCAGTGGTCCCCATTGTAAAATCCGAGGCAGCCCCGGCCACTTGTCTCTGGGCTCAGATTCTCCAAGGGGAGGGGAGACGATGGCCCTGCAGCTGGTCTGAGGAAAGTCACCTGGGTAGCACGCCGCCATCCTGGCCAGGCTGGTCCCCAGCCACACAGCCTGGGAGTCAGGTGTGAGACTCCAGCAAGGGGCGCCTGCCGAGTGCCCACATTGCGCCCTTCCGCACCGCCCCACTTTGGCCTTGGGAACCAGGTGCAAGGTCAGGCGGTACTGGGCCTGGGTCCGGCTGTGGTGCCCTGCAGTTATGCAGACTGGGGACAAGGCGTGGGAGAAGGCATGCCCGAGGGGCGGAGGACTGGCCTATGCAGGGAGGGGCCGAGGGTGTGTCTGGCAGCTCCCCAGCTCCTTCATCCCACCTACCAAGGAGGACAGTGCCTGCTGTGGCTGGTTGATGATGGATGGGTGGATGATGGACCGACAGATGCATAGATGGGTGAAAGATTAATGGACTGTATAAATGTCCAGCCTTACCTGGCCACACCCCTGGGGTTTCCATCCAGCTCCAGCTCCCTTCCGGGGTGGGGCAGGTCTCTGTCTCTTGGGGGTTCACAGAAGCCAGGTGTTACCATCAGTGTGCCCGTCACAAGCCTGTGCTCTATCCCAATGGATTTGGAAGCCGGGTGGGTTCTTGAATCCCTCTGTCCAGTGTCTGGGTCAACCAAACCACTAATGTCACCAGGAACCTTCTGTCCAGTGTTCCGGGAGGCGGGCTGCCATGACTGCTAGGGTGACCCCTGTCCCAGCCCCATGGCGCTGGCCTCCAACCCCACCCCCACCAGTGCAGCCTTACCCTCTGCCAGCATCCCCTCGCCATCGGCCCCCAGGAGCAAAGGAATGTGGGGGTTCCATGGCGCCTGGGGGCTGCCCAGCCTGCTCCAACCACCCCAGCCTGCCAAGGAAGCGGAGGGCCTGAGTCTTAGCACAAAGCATTTTAGGTTTATTTAAATAAAAATTATAATTTATACAAGACTTTTTCTTTAAACAAGGTTTTCTTAAAAAAATGTGACAAGGAATTTTTCATCGGTTCCTCATACAGTACAATCCTTTTGCTGAACAAAAGTTACACCAGTAACGATTATGTACACATCCAAAATAGACTCAAGCTTCAGACATACAAAATTTAACATTCATTCTAGTTTAGTGATTAGTCATAGAAATTAAATATCCGCCCAGATTAACACTCCCACAGGACCGTGGTGTCTCTGACAGGCCCAGGCTTCATCCAAGACCCTGCTGCTGCCTGCCTGTGCAACTTGGGGTGACACAAGGCTCCCACACACACCTGATGGCTGTGCCCAGCAGGCCATGGCCAGTCTTCATTGCCCTTCTCCAAGGAAGGGCCTCAAACGAAACCACACGGCCTGCAAGAAGCCCTGTCCGCCAGGCCCTCCCCACAGTGCTGTGGACAGGAAGTACTCCCTGTCCACATGATCCCAGCACCGGCCAGGGAGAGGTCATACCATCACCCATGGGCATCACCCACACAGCCATCCTGGGGTCACCCAGGTCCTGCCCAATTCCATGCACTGGAGAGTGGGGTCTACTGCTAGGCTGAGCCACACCAGGGCTCTGCCTTCAGCGCTGGGGGCACAGGGACCTGTGTGCAGACCTGGCTGGCTGTGCCCTGTCCCTGCACCAGCTGCAACCCTGCAGCCCCTGGGCAGGGGTATCATCAGCCCCCAGCCCACACCTCACTCTCGAGCCGGCCAACAAGGATTCAGAGCAAAGGTAAAAATCACATTTGAAAAATGATACAAAAATAAGAAAAACAGCTTGCTCTCTGTAAAAAATATAATCTGTTTCTTCAAAAAACAATCTCAGTGACACCTGAAAGGCCCAGGACAAGCTGAAGAACTGAAGAGACTCTTCAGAAAGCGAGCAGGTCACAGGTGGCCGCGGCCCTTGGAGGCCAGGCCGTCCCAGGATTCAGTGTCTGCTTCTTGTCACTTCAGATCTGTATGCAGACGACATCCCGGGGTGAACCAAGCCCGGGAGCCGCGCCCTCAGCCTCCACAAGAGCCAGCGCTTATCTGAGCCAGGGCGAGCAGCCCTGTACGGGGTGGCCTGGTGGTGCTGTGTGCCCGGCCTAGCGACACTGGGCACCCAAGGGTGGCAGAATACTGTCAGGCGTCAGGGGTGCAGGGTGGCCCTGCCCCACAGCAGGATGTGCTCCCAGCCACCCTCTATGGCAGATGGTCCACCCAGGGGCTCCTGCTGCCCCACAGATGGGAGGGACCTGCAGCCCTGGCCTCTGCAGGGCACCTCCTTGTGTGCTTGCAGCCCGGAGGCCAAGTTGGCCCGCCTATCGATTTTCACCTGAGAGCAACCATAGCTCAGCACCCCAAGTCCTCCTGTCGTCCCCTCCACGGAGCCGTGTTGGGGAGATGTGCTTTCACCTTCAGACCCCTCTACCCCTCCTGGTCACCAACTGCAGGCCCCAGTCTCCGCCTTCCGTGCCAGGAAGAGGGGGGTCCCCAAATGCCTAGCCTCACTGCTCCCACAATCCTGTCCTGGGGCCAGGCCCTGAGCTCCAAGAAGCCCAGCTGTAGGTCAGCTCGAGGGAGACTCGCTGGCCACTTCCAGGCAGCTGCCGTGGGGGCTCAGGTCCACTCCTTCCTGCCCCCAGCAAGAGGGCACATGGACGCATTCGGCAATGGCTTTGATGGGGAGCTTCTGCCTCTGCACAGCAGTGGCCTTGGGGGGTCACAAGAGCCTCCAGGGTAGCCGGTGCCAGTCAGTACCCAGGCTGCCTGGAGATAGAGGTGCTGTGCCTAGGAGGCCCCAGTTAACAAGGCCCAGTGCATCATCTTTCCAACAAGCCCTGCGGCCCCCTGCGGCCACGTTCACTAAGTGCCTCCTGTGCCCACCAGGGGCAGCGGCACCTCCTTGGGGGCCCTGGCCACTGGACAACAGGCTCTGCAAATGCAGCCAACCCAACAGAAACCACAGGAGGGGAATTATTGCAAAAGGTCCCCGGGAGGGTCGCTCTGTCCCACACCGAGTGTTGAAACGCTTCTGGCAGCGTCCAGGGTCAGTACTAGCTGTCCCCACCCGAGGCTGCTGCAGATGTGATCTTCATGTACTGACTGAAGATGGTCTCGAAGGCCTCGTCCCTGTGCACCATGGCGCCGAACACCAGCGGCTAGGGGGAAATGCCGTCCGTGAGCAGGGTCCCACCCTGAAGGCTCAGAGAAACTGAGGCAAGAGACGGGGAACCTGGGCTCCAGGCTCGGCCGCCCTTCCGTGAGTGTCCATCTGTCTTGTGACCTCATCCCCCAAAGGCTGCAACCACAGGATGCAGGCCAAATGTGCAGTCTGCAGCTCCCTGCCCAGGGTGATGCCACCACCAGTCCCAGAGCTGAGCCCCAACCCTCGTGCACCAGGCACAGCTGCCCACCTGCCACTTACCTTCTGGGTCGATGGTGTTGACACAGCAATGCCCATGCCCGAGCCTGGGAGGACAGACAGGACCTTGTACTGAAAGACAACAGCAGTGTCACCACAGCCCCCATTCGGGGCTGCACCAGCTCCCCACCGGCCCAGGGCGTCTTCCCACCAAGCACACCAATGGCGAGACCCAAGGGACCCGCCACACCCCAGCCACAGAGGACAAGGATCTGCAGGCATCTCCTGACCCAACTGAGAAATGGGACCTGCACTGGCTGGCGGCCTGGGCGAGGCTGGGGAGGCGGGACCTGAGGCACAGTGCGGGGAGCAGGCTCAGACTTAGGTTAATAGTCACCATAAGAGTCAGAGCTTTGCACTGGCCATGGTGACCATGACAGCCATGGGGCTGGGAGCCCATCACCAACAAGAGGGCCATGCCTGGCAGAAGGCAGGACCCACCCCCAGCTGGTATCCCTGGCCAGGTGCCTGGAGCTGACAGGGAGCGAGTGGCAGCACTGTTGGCTCCTCCCTGACCTTCTTGTGTCCCCAGCAGTGAACCCCTCACCCTGGACACTGTGCACACCCCGCCCATGCCAGCTGCACAAGCCCATGCTGATCAGGGCGGTCGGGAACTGGCCAGGGAGCTGCCCTTGGTGGACAGCATCCATGTGACCCTGGAATCCATGCACGGGGCAGGAGCTCGGCCTTTCCTGGGGTATTGGAGATGGGGCTGCAGCAGCGTGGGCAGAGCTGGCAGGGTACTCCCAGGTGTACCTCAAGACCTCCTCCTGCCTACCACAGAGTGGGGAGCAGGGCAGGTGCCAGCCACAGGGGTCAGAGAGGCTAAGGCTGAGCTTGTGTGGCCGAGGGCCACGGAGACTCAGATGGAGCTGAGGGGCTTGGCCTGGAGACTTCTCAGCAGGTCTAGGGTTCCCAGACAGAACCCCCACCCCGAAGGGGTAAGAGGAATGCAGGGACGGGGACCCACCTTCTGGATGTCTGTGATGTCCACCAGCTTGATGACCTTGTTCCTCTTGGAAGACCCGGATTTGGAGCTCTCAAAGCATAGGTAGCTGGATGGGGAGGAAAGGAAGGTCACAATCAACCCCCAAACCCAGCGGGCATCCTGCCCAGGCCCAGGGGGCAGTGACTCCTCCCCGTGAGGCCCAACACTGCCAAGCGCTGGAAAGCCCTGCTCCGTGCTCAGCCCAAGACTGAGACTCGGGGGCCCTGGGCAGAGGGAGCTTGGGGGGAGTTTAACAGCTGCCGCAGGGAGGGACAGGCAAACTTCTCGTCCCAGTCCTGGGGGAAGGCAGCGAGGCCCAGCCTCACACAGCCTGGCAGGCGGAGAAGAGGCAAAGCTGTCTGCACAGCAAGGACTGGGGGCCTCAGCGTGCACAGGCTGCTACGCTGTCCCCCTCCCGGTGAGGACCCTCAGACGCCTCCAGCCACCTCGGTCCAGCTGGAGGCCCCGCCTCACTCACTTCTCTGTCACATACAGCACCCCGTTCCTGATGTAGTCCGTGGGCATCTTCCGGTCTCGGTTTATCAGGCAGCATCGCCAGCCACTCTCACACACTGAGGGGAGAAAACCGGCCTGCAACTCCTCCCTGCAGCAAGCCCCATCCTCCGTGGGACACCGGTGCCCACGGGCCCTGATGACCACACATCCACATCCATTGGGACCAGCAGAAGAAGCCCGTGACGGGCGCTTGAGCTAGGGGCGGGCTCCACTCTAGTAGCACAGGGCCCAGGGTTCCCTCACACGTGAACGGCAGGCGCTGCCAGCAGTGGAAGCCAAGAAATCCACATGCAGCCCAGGGCTTCCGGCATCCCAGACCCGCAGGAGGAGCCTCAGGAAAGAGCCGGGCCCAGCTGAAATCTCTGTGGCTGTCCATTGTCCACAGCAGCCTCCTTTCTGCAAGGAGCCCCAGATCCCAAGGTCCCTGTCACTGGTCAGGCTTCCTGTGGACAGAGGCCAGATGTGCCCAGCATGGTGGACAGGCTTCCTGCCTGCGTGCGCCTGCAGCCCTGACCCCGACGAAGGGTTCTGATCGCCTGATTTTGCTCAGAGCAGACACGGCTGGGGTGAGGATGTGGCTTCCTCTCAGGGATGCCCCGTCCCAAAGGCCTCGGTTCCTGTGCACTGCCCTCGGGAAGACCTCTCCCATGGACTGCCTGACCTGTCACGTCGCCTGACACACCTGTGCCCAGCTAGGTCATGGGCTGGTGACACACACACACCTGCCAGGGGCCGCTCGTTCTCAGTCAAGTTGAAGATTTCATGGAAATTGCCCTTCTTGGTGCTGTGGAAGCGACCGGCATCCTCGTCCTTGCTCAAGCTGGCAGGCGCACTGGAGACGTAGCTCCGTGACGCGGCTGTCTGCAGCTGCCAATGCACACGGGGTCATCAGGCTTGGGGGAGGAGCAGCTGGGGACAGGGGGCTGGGAGACGCCCAAGGGCTGTCCTGCCCAGCCCTGCTGCTGACTTGGGTCAGCAAAGATGCTCTACCCACTCCTGCAAGCTCAGCTCCGATGGGGGTGCAGCTCCCCTGTGCCCCTGCTGGGCCAGGCCTGAGCTGAGTCCCACTGCCCCCTGGGCAGGATGGGGATCTTCTCCCCCAGTGATGCCTGCAACTCTCCCCAGCACACCAAGCCCAAGGAAGGGCTGTCAGCACGCATTTTGCGGGAGATCGATGTTTCAGACCCTAACGCAGCCACCAACAGCCACTTTAGAAAAGTCACCGTGGCAGCAGCACGGCACCAGGTTGCAGCAGTCCAGGGGGCTCCCCACAGTCACTGTATCTTGTCATGCTTGACAGCTGGTTGGGAGATCACAGACACATGACCACCACCAAAGACAAATGGGAAGTGCATGACAAAGGTTGTGAACCCAGGACTCTGAGCAGAGCCGAGCGCAGACATGCAGGCCCTCAGGACACCTGCGGGGCACAGCCACCATGCCAGAAGATCGCAGCCCTATGCTCGTTCACCTCACTCTCCTGAGGCCCAGGAAGGTCCCGCCAAGAAGTTCCCCAAGACCAAGAGCCCAGGCTCTCTGCCTGTGTGTGTCCCAGGTTGACACTACCTGCAGGATCAGAGCTGTGGGCTGCCCCAGGAGCTCCCCTTGGCGGGGCAGTCTCATGGTTCCCAACAACTGTGCAGTTCCAGGAACCCGAGAGTGGGACCCACACTTGACCCAGAGCTTTTTTCTCCACTGACTGAGGCATCAAGGGATCACTGGGACACCTTCTCCATAGGACAAGCCCTCCTCTGGGAGGCCCTCTGAGGCTTCCACAAAAGGAGCTCCTGGGCTGGGACCTTTGCCACTCATCTGAGGGACCCCTAGGAGGGCCCGTCCCAAGCATCCTGTACCCCTGGCTCAGAAGGACCTGAGCTGTGGGTCTGGTACCAGCTCCTGTGCTGATTGGCCTGGATCCCCAAGGGCCACCATTAAGGCCAGGACTGATCACGCTCGTGGGCCCCACTCCCACAGCCTCCTCGTCCCAGCCACTGGCCCTCAGCAGGACAGCCACACCCCAGCGGGGCTGCCCTCAGCAGGGCTCAGGGGATAGTGGATCTCTTCAATAAAGTCTCTGAGGACTTTGAGCAGGGGGCCCAGCAGATGGGGGACGCAGGGGAGACCGTGAGGGGGGATTGGGGATGCCGTCTCTGGGGCGCATAAGGTTGGAGGACAAGCAATGGCCCGAGAACGAGCACAGGCGCAAGGAGCCTCGAGGTCTGGGGGGCCACGTGGCACTCACCCTTCGTGACACAGTGGCACCTGCGCGCTCCTTGAGCTGGGGGTCTGTGGGGAGGCTCCGCCAGATGATGTAGGGCGTGTCGTACTTGGCTCTCAGTCGAGGGCAGCGTTTGAAGATGAAGTCAATGAGGAAAAACTTGACACCAGCATAGAGTCCTGCAGAGGAAGAGAGTCCACCAGGCCCACATCCTGCAGTCCAGGAAGAGAGTCCGTCCACTCTGACCCATGGTCAGGCCCTCTGCTCCAACGCCTGCCATTGGAGAGTGCCCCAAACCCACAGGGCGGGCTGGGGCTGGCACCACCAAGGGACCCTAACCCCTGCCTGGGATGGGTGTGTGTCCTGGTGGGGTCGGCACTGGCCGAGAACCTAACTGGGCTTGGACCAAACCAGAAGTCATCTCAGAAAACAAAGGTGACCGCAGAACACCAGGAGCTGCCACCCAAAGGGTGGCACTTGGAAGCCTCTGCGAGACCTGACTGGGACCTGCTACTCTGAGTTTCAATCTTCTCTGGCCAGAGTGGACAGGTGATCTGAAGGATGACAAGCCCCTGCACGCAGCATGTCCCAGCCCTGCCATCCCAAACCACACTGTTCACCAGCCCTGGTGTCCCGGTAGAGAGTGGAGGAAGAGCCCAAGACTGAGGGCCAGTTTGTCAGGATGCTGAGACCAAGAATGGACGGATGCATTGTCCAGATGGTCCACTCAGATCCAGATGACTGCCACACCCAACACCTGGCACGCTGCAGACAGGCACTGCATGGGCCCCAGGCAGCAGCCACAGGACGCTGCCACCGCCCCTGCATTTGCAGTGGCCTCTGTACCTTCTTCATCTGGACACAGCCTCCTCCTCCTGCCCTCCTGAGGCCTGGCTCCTACAGTGGGACTCCCCGGGCTTGATGCTTAGCCTCCTCAAGTGGTGGTCCTGGCTTTGGGGGTGCCCTCCCTCCTCAGAGCTCTGATGTCTCATTCCCCAGCCTCCTGTGGCCCTCAGACTCCTCCTAGCAGCCTCTCCTCCCTGAGCTGCCCCACAGCTCTGCAGGTCACCCCAGGCTCCCTCCTGCCTGTCTCCTGTCTGTCCCTCCCAACTGCAGCCCAGTGCAGCCCACTGTGTCCCCCTGGTACCAAACCAGCCTCCCCTTCCCAGAGGCTCAACTGTTTCAAAATCTGGAATCCCACCCTGCCTGTGTCCTGTGCAGAGGGGCCAGGTGACCGTACTCCACACCTTGCTATCCCGGAATCAAATGACTGATGCCCCCTTAGTCCATCTTGTGGGCCTAGGCACCACCACCTGCTCCTGCAGGTCAGGGAAAGCCCTCAGTGTGCCTCTCACTCCCTGACTGCACCCAGCATATCCATTTGCTCATCTGAGACATTGCCTTCGAAGGGGTCTCAGAGCCCCAAGAAAGTGCCCTGCTCACTCCTGCCAAGGCCCTGCCCACTTCTCCCAGGCCACACCCACTTCCCCAGATCAGCCCTCCCAAACCATAGACCACACCCTTTTCCACCACAGGCCACATCCACTCCTGCCTAGGCCCTGCCCACTTCTCCCAGGCCACACCCACTTCCCAGATCAGCCCTCCCCTATCATAGACCACACCCTCCCATCACAGGCCACACCCACTCTTGCCTAGGCCCTGCCCACTGCTCCCAGGCCACACCCACTTCCCCAGATCAGTCCTCCCCTATCATAGACCACACCCTCTCACCACAGGCCACACCCACTCTTGCCTAGGCCCTGCCCACTTCTCCCAGGCCACCCACTTCCCCAGATCAACTCACTCCTAGGCCCCACACTGTCGCACCACAGGCCACACCCATGCCTGCTCAGGCTGCAGCCTGGGAGCTGACCAGGAAAGTAAGCTAATAAACAGCCTGGGTAGTGTGAAGGAATCTGTGTAGACATGGGACAGGAAGCAGCAGAGAGCCTGCGCTGGGCAGTACGGACAGGTCCCCAGGGAGCTGCTGAGCCCACAGAGCTCTGGACAGTGGGCTGTTCAGGGCTGCCGCTCTGGGAAAGACCCAGCCCCGGGTTCTCCCGGCCTGGAAAGGAGGAGGAGGGCAGAGCAGAACCTCATAGGTGCCAGCACTGTCTCCCTGACCAACTCCAAGCTACCACAAAGCTCTGCTCCCCTCGGATGGCTGGAGACCAGGTCTGAGCCCTGGCGCGTGCGCAGGGGTCTCTCTCCCTGCCCTGTCTCTTCCCCTGCTCTTGTGGCTCCCCCTACGCACCCTGCAGTCCAGCCACATCCCCTTGACTGTTGTTCCCGCGGGTGAGGAGAGGAGAAAAGGATGCCCATGCCCTCCCCACCCCTGCCAATGAACCCAGGAAAGGAAGGCTTAGATGGATGTGATCCCTGAGCCTACACTACATCACTAACTCAGCTGCCACTGAGCTGGAGGATCCCAAACCCAGGTTCTGCAGCCGTGAACCCCCCAGCCAGCTGCAAGACAGACACCTGCTACCTGCACACAGGCCAGCCCCTTCCTACAGCAGGAAGCTGGCCTCTTCCTGGCAAGGAAAGGTCATGCTTGACCTGAGAAATCGTCTTTATAGTGACAAGAGCCTGTACTCTGGGAGGCTGAGGCAGGAGGGTCACAAATTGGAGCCCTGACTTGGTGACTTCGTGAGACTCTGTCTCACAATTTAAAAAATGGAGAAAAGTGCTGGAGAGGGAGCTTAGTGTGAAGGTCCCTGGTTCAATGCCCAGTACAAAAGAAGGAAAACAAAGAAAGAAAGAAAAAGTCATCATCTCTCTAGATTCTGATGGTGGTTATTTCTCCCAAATCTACAAGTGAGGTAAGGCCTGGACTCACTCCCGGGGGCAGGGGATGCACGGCAGGTCCTCTGCTCCATCTGCGGAGCTCCTGACCCGACCCTGCCAAGCTGGGGCGGTGTCTCCTTACCCACGGCGAGCCCCACCAGGCGGTAGGGGAAGAAGCAGGAGGCCAGGAAGGCGGCCCACAGCGCGATGTACAGCTTCTGCGTGATCTCGGGCTGTACCCACATGAACAGGCTGGAAGGGAGACGGGGGTCAGCGGGGTCCAGCACCCATACGGGGGAGGGCTGCAGGGAGGCCACTCACTTCTTGATCTTTTCCAGGATGTCAGCCATCTTTCCAAAGAGGTTCTGTGTGAAGAAGATGACCACAGACTCAGCACCTGTCAGCCACGCCAGACACAGGCAGGCCAGGAACGCGTCCTGTGGCCACCAGAGCCCCGTGGTCCTTCCCTGCCATGGCCAGCAGAGGGCGCCCCGCTGCAGTGTCCCCCTGCAAAGAGGCTGGGACACCCAGCTAAGCACCTGCAGCAGACCGAACCCCAGTGCTGGCAGAGCCTGAAGCAGTACCTGGGCTTTCTGGGCGACATCCAGCACCAGCTGGAACTTCTCGGACACGGTGAGGTCTTCCTTCGGAGGTTCCTTCAGTCAAAGGGGAAAGAGAATTTTCCACTGAAATTTAACAGTTCAGAGAAATTACTGATAAACCAGCAAGGAGGCTCCCAGCCCCCGGGACATGTGGGTCACTCTGCTGTCCCTGTATAGCCAGCGGAGCAGGGATACCCTGTGGGGACCCCGGGTGGGGAAGGTACATTGCTGGACCGACACACCCCCACCCCCAGCTCCCTTCTCCGCCTGCCTGGGCCCAGCTCTTCCTGTTTGTCTGAGAGCATTCACCTCCCCACTCACTGGGTGAGACACTCCTGAGGCCTCGGGGTCCCAGGATGGACAGACATGGGGCTGATCCCTGCAACACCCCCTCAAGACTGGTCCAGGGAGGCCCCAGGGTCTCTCTAGCTGCAGCCAACAGTTCAGCCCCACAGGTCCAAGCCTCCCTCTAAAGCCAAGCATTTTTGGCTTGGACCATGGCGCCTCTGTGACAGCTTCTGCACTGAGTGCAGAGGCAGCCTCAGCAGCGTGAGAATGAGCAGGCCTAGATGACTGTCAGCAAAGCTCCACTGACAAACAGCGTTGTACAGAAGGAGGTGTGACTTAGTGTCAATAAAGCTTTATTGACAAACCAGACAGTGGGCCACAGTTGGGCTCCAGGGTCTAGGGAGGGTACACATCTACTTTTCCAGCTCCTTGGTTACATCTCCACCCAGAGTGGACTGTGGAGGCTACAGCAGCTGAGAAGGCACAGGCAGGACAGGCCGGGGCCAGAGGGGGACACCCCAGGGCTCCGGGCTGGGGTGTCGGGCTGTTCCCATACCTCCCCTCCAGGGCAGGGTGCTCATCTGGGTGGAGGCCTGAGCTGGTGGGGACCAATGCAGGGGCCCTGTGTCCCCCAGAACTCACCACGGCTTCAGACACCTCTGGCACAATGCTCCACTGTATCCGCCAGCCTCTGGCAAAGCAAAACCACCACCGCCTTTCAGTCAGCGTCACCTTGAGTGGCCGAGTTCGGGGGACCCGTGGCAGCTCATCTAGCCAGGGCCCCCACCCTGGGGTCTGGCCAGACAGGAAGGAAGGGCTCCCCACCCCTGCGGTCGGCCTCCAGGCCACGCCAACCACCCTCCTGTCTATCAGCAGCCAGTGGCAGGGGCAGGGGCAGCCACACTGGGGGGCAGAAGCAGAGGCGGTCCTGCCTCCCCTCCCCTCCCCTCCCCTCAGGGGCTAATGGCTGCTGATTCATTTCCTGCCTGAATCTTGTAACCTGAGCAACTGCTCTGGGGTAACAATTGCAACGTGTTAACCAGTGTTAATTTCCTACTATTTTTTGAAAATTCTGTATTGTTTCTTTTTAAAATACAAAAAAAAAAAAGCTCTAGATTCAACCTCCAGCACTGAAAAAAAATTATACAGTATGACTGACAATGTAGTGAATGTTCAGTGTTTTCAAACATAGCGTGCAGGACCCACCGCCACGGCTCCCTTACAATCCCCCGGCTTCCACCCCGGAACCCAGCATTCTTGCCACTTTCTGGAGCGGCTCTGGAAGACTTCTTTCCTGAGTGTCTTTCGGCTCTGTGGCAGCCTTATATCCCGAGTCGATTTAAAACACCTCCCTTTCGAGGTCTTTTTGACTTTGGGGAGACCCAGTGCATGCACCAGCGGGGACACAAAGGCTTTCACTGTGCTCCCCATCGCACCCTGTGGAGTCAACACTCACTCGGGAAGGACCACGTGCAGAACCGCCCCAGAAAGTGGCAGGGACGAGGGGTGAAGCACGTCCAAGGTGAGGGCGATTCTGAAGGGCACTGGCGCCGGTGTGCCCCTTACCGTAATGAGTATTTTTGAACTCAGGACCCTGCACTTGCCAGGCAGGTGCTTACACCACTGAGCTAAAGCCCGGCCCCAATGCTCCCCTTTCTCAACCAACACTGAAAGACGGCAGGCACCTGGGGTAGACGTGTGACCTTCACGGAGCTGAGGCTGGTATGAGGGGCCCCTTAAGGTGCTCACAGAGGATGGCGGGGGCAAAGGCACAGCCTGGGCTCAGCAAAGTTTGCGTGTGCCGGTGTAAAGGGCTGTGTGAGCAAAACACCCCGAATCTGAGCCCCTGATCCTCGCTTTCTTGTGACAGCAGCAGGAGCTGGGCACGCACGGGGCCCTGCAGCCTCACAATCCCCAGCCTGGTGATGTGATGAAGGATAACCAAGGTGGGCACTGCGGCTGCCTGCGTCTCCAGAGCCCCTGGGAGGACCCTGCCCTCCCCCATGCCGGCTGTGACACAGTAGTGGGGCCACACGACCTGCTCACCCACCTAGCGATGAGGTAATTGAGAGACAGCCTCAGGATGGCGAGAAACAGGAACATGGGGATGGCCCAGCCGTGCCACACGGCGTTCATGTACACCTGCGGGGAGAGAAGGTCAGGCAGCCTGGCGGGGAGATGGAGGTGCACTTGGGGCACAAGAGGCCACCACTGTCCTGAACACTCAGCCGTGGGAGACAGGGGACAGCGGGCCCAGGTGGGGCCCCTGACTGCCTGTGGCTCCCTGTGGACGATGACAGACGGAGCTGCGGGCACGGAGCTGGGGCCAGAAGGGTAGATCAGTGCCAAGAGGCTCATCTCCTGGGGCCAAGGCACAGGTGGGTGGGGGGTGTGACCCTGGCTGGAGAGGCTCCCAGCTTCCCCAGTGAGCGTGCAAAGTGCTGTCTCCAAGGCAGACACTGAGGTCTGGCCCAGCCACTGAGTCTCTCTGGGGGCTGCCAGACACCCCCTCCAGACAAGGGCCCACACAGCTGGGTGGAGCTGCCTTCAGGCACTCAGACAGGGGCCGCCCTGTCCCCGGCCTTCCGCACTGGAGGAAAGCAAGATGGGCAGGAGGGTCTCCCTGTGGCAGGTGGAGGGCAGGACCCCCGCTGACACCAGCCTCATGTCCCCCCCCCGACAAGTGGCTCGCAGAGGTCAGGCTGGGTCCCCCACACCACCATGTGCCCTTCAGGGCTCCCTCTGGGTCCTACAGTCTCGTCCCAGGGGACAGACACTGTTCAGCTGCCCTCTGACCTGAGGGCTCTGGCAAACCAAAGGCCAGCAGGCCAGGAGGCTGAGGTCACTGCTGGGGGCCACGCAGGGACGCAGGGACACAGGGACCGCCTCCCATCCAGGGTCCTGGGCCACCCTGGAGGACACGGGTGAAGTGTGGCAAAGACACCCCCCAACCCCACCCGAGGAGCCGCTCACCGTGAAGGCAATGGCAGAGGTGTAGACGGAGTACCAGTCAGACAGGGCCGAGAGGTTCCTCACGAAGCTGGTGACGGGCTTGGCACCACGCTCTGGGGACAGGGCAGACTGGGGCATCAGCATGACACCCCAAAGTGCCTCCTGTGGGGAGATCCCGCCACGCCCCATGCCCAGGCTATGGTGGGCAGGAAAAGGGCAGAAGGGCAAAGATGGGGAGAGCGTGCTGGGGTTTTCACCCCAAATGCTGGGATGGCCAGGGTGGGCTCTGCCCCCCGCTCACCCACACCGCACAGGGGACTGTGCTTACTCAGTCGCCTCATGTTCTCCGTCAACCTGTGATGGAAGGAGAGGGGCAGTGTCAGGGCACCCACAGCCCCGACCCACGCCCCGCTGTCACACACGGACAGGGAGGATGCTGGATGCCGGGATGGGCACACCCAGAGAAAGGGCTGCAGCAACAGCGACCCCGCACTGCCCCTATGTTAGGAAGGTGGGCACGGCTCCAGCAGGATGCCAGCCGGGCACGAGACCCCTAAGCTGACCCACAGTGGCTCTGCAGGTCCCTGTCCCACACACCCCGGGAGCACGGGCTGGGGCCTCGGGGGCCGGTGGCAGCTACGTGGGTAGCAGGGACCAGGCCCTGACACCCCAGCCTCTGCCTGGGTGCCCCTGCTCTGCCCTACCTGCGGGCACTGAGGGGCTCCTCGGTCTCCACGGTGTTCTCCTCGGGCTGAAAGTGGAAGTCCTCCAGGTACTCCCCGAACCTCTCGTAGAACCACTTCTGCAGGCGTGCGGACAGCCCCTGGCTGCGGCGGTCTGCGGGGAGGGGCGGAGGCAGCGAGGAGTCCGCCTGGCTCATTGTTCAGGGGTCTGGGGACCTGGGGTGGGGTCTCCCAGCCAGACACCCCGGGCCCCACAGGGCGTTTTTCAGAAGGAGGGCTGGACAGGCTGCAGGGGGCGCTGTCCCACCGTAATTCAAGGGGGTGGGAAGGTGGGCAGGTGGTCACCAGACACCTGCCTTTGGCATGCACAAATATTGTGTGTCCATTAAAAATTAAAGAAAACCCAGCCAGGTGTGCTGCGGGCCCAGGGCAGGTGGGCAGCGGGCAATGGAGACCCCGGAGCCTTGGGCTTGGGGCAGAAGTGAAGGCCCAAAGCCTGCGGGGCTAAGGTTTGTGCCCCCTTTGAGGGGAGGGAGGTAATGCTAGGGGTTCCCGGGGGATCACTGACGGACCCTGGGATTTTGGATTCATCAAGGCTCACCTGGCAATCTTCCTCCCCCACACCTTTAAAAGAGTGACCAGTGTTTTAATAACATAAAGACAGATGGGGATGGTTGGCTGACCCCAGGCCCAGGACTGTGGGTTCACCCCAGCAGCGTGAGGCCGAGCCCCCATCCTCTAACCAGGACCCTAGGGCTCTCTCTGCTGGGCCCTTAGGGCCAGTTCCCAAGGAAAAGGCAAAGCCCTGGAGGGCTACCCCCAACTTGGGGTCCCACCTGACCCTCCATGGGTCAGACACTGCGTTCCCCGAAGGCGGCTGGGGTGAGGCTGCACCTCCTTCCTCCCCACCCCCTACCACACATGCAGAGTCAGCCTAATCATCAGATCAGGACAGGCAAGGGGACCCCAGTGCTCTGTCTTTCCAGCCCAGCTTCCCCGGCCCTCACTGTCACCAAGTGTCCGGGACCTCGGAGATCTCCTGCTGCTCCTGGCCTCGTGGCCAAGACGACAGGCCCAGGACTTACATCTAAGCCTGGGACACTGGCTGTGGGGCTCAGGGGACTTGGGAGCCTAGCTCAGGGAAGAGCGTACTGTCCTGTGCTCCAGGATGGCCAGGACCAGAACTGGAGTGTCCCTCAGAGGGGCCTGCCCATAGGGCCTCCTCTGTAGTCCCCGGGCCTGAAAGGAACTCAGACTTGGTCCCACCCTGCTTGCTTGCACAGGTAAGCAGGGCCTTGGGAAGGGTCAGGATGCAGGGAGGGACAGGGACATCCCATCTCCTAAGGACGGCTGCAGAGGGTTTGGAGTAGGGACAGGAACAGCGCAGGGCAGGATGGGAAGGGAGGGACAGAAAAGAGCTCTGTCCCCTCCGTGGGAGCACTGGGGACCAGGCCACCACGGCCTCACTGCCAGTGTAGTCTCTTGCTGGGATGACAAGCTGGATGGACAGCAGGGTCAGCACAGGGCAACCAGGGCAGTGCCGTGCACTCCTGCAAGCAGGCCTGGGCTCGCCCAGTGATGTGAGTTCACTGTGATGACCTCCAGCTTGCAGGGACAAGTGCCATGCCCTTTCTGACAGGAAGAGTATCCCGGAGGGCAGAGGGACTCGGGAGATGGACACTGCCTCTGCAGGCCTACCTGCTCCATTGCTGGGCTGGCTCTGCCCCTTCGGCGGCGGCTGGGCCTGCGCAGTCTGCTCCTCGACTCTTAAAAAGAGGTGAGAAGAAGGGGGACTCTGACAGTGCCACATGCCAGCACCCGATGGGAACCACCAGCTCGGGAATCCGGAAGGCACCAAGGCCAGACGACAGTGGCTGGTGACAGGGCCCAGCACTCCCCGCCAGCACAGGTTCTTTCTTTCCTGTTAATTTCAGCACCACTGGGCTCAAAATACACAGCTCTGCCAATGAAACCGTGCTGCTCCAACACGAGGCCGACCAAGAGCCGGTGTGCATTCACAAGGCGGGATCAAAACCACAGCCCCGGGATGGGTATAGCTCAGCCGGGGAAGCGCCTGCCTGGCAAGCCAAGGTCCCGAGTTCAATCCCTGGTACCAGGGAGAAAAAGAAAATTAGGGTGACTGGCACTGCCAACACCATAAAGCAGAAAATCCGGCTGCTAAAACCCTACATCCGCCTCATTCACCAGATCCAGCCCCGTGTGACGCTGGCTCGTCCCCAAAGCCGCAAGGAATGTGAAAGGGAAATGCTCTGAGTCGATTCAGGACATGGAGGCCGCCAGGACAGTGCAACTAAAGGCCCTCGGGAAGGAGGACTCCAGAGCTGCTGCAGGAAGTGTGCGGGGTGAGGGGACGAGTGTGTTCAGAGTGCGGGGGATTTCACTGTAACAGATACTTAAAATGTAAACGAGTGGCCGTCTTAAGGGGGAGAAGTGGTGTCCAGGGGCTGGGGCTTCACTGCCTTCACCAAACGTGGTGAGGGGTGATCCCCATGCACAGGACACAGGATGCTGGCTCAGGGCAGCGCTAGGGCAACACAGGGTTAGGTGGAGGGAGGAACGGGGCAGGGAGGTGCAGGATGTTCTCACCCCGTGCAGCTCCCCACAAGCTGGGAGCCATGACAGTGCCTCACTCCCTCTGATCAGAAGGAGGCCCCCAGGCTTCTGACTGAGGTGGCTTCCAAACAGCGGCCTGCACTGCGTGTGACTGACTGGGTCTCTGTGCAAGGCCTGGAGTCCCCTGACCCTCGGTTACTGAGGCAGGGCCACGGCCAGGTCAAGCCAGGTCAAGCAGGGCCAGCCGATGCAGGCCTGGGATCAGCCCTGAGGCCATCTGCCCAGTCACCAGGGTCACCTGGCTCTGCTTTCTTCCTGCACATGGCACCCTATGTGATACCCTGGTGGCCCCGTGGTGCCAGCCTTCCTAGCTGTGGAGAGAGGCAGGCGAGAACCCCAAGAAGGCTCAAGACAGATGCCAGGTACGGCCTGGCCAGCAGCAAAGGGTGCCGTTTTCAGGTGGCTTGTGCCCATGACTGCAGAAACCTGTGTCTACCGACAAGCAGCCCCAGGCTGAGGGGAGCCTGTGGGGTTTTACTAAAAGATCAGAATAGTACGTGTGACTGTAGTTACTGTGCCTCAGTCCTGATGCCTGCCTCAGCCTCAGGGGCTGGGCGGTGTGTGTGTGTTCACAGGTGCTCCCGTGAGGTGGGTACACCTGTGTGGCGTGAGTGTAGACGTGTGCATGCCTGAGTGTGTGGGAGTGTGAGGGTCCCTGACAGCCCACTGCCACCCAGACCAGTCTGTGACGAGGAAGGGGGGGAAGGCTCCTGCCTGCTCCCCCAACCAGGGACCCCAATCCCGCCCCAAGGGAGGAGGCAGGGTCCCTAGAGCTCCCAGGCCCTCCACTTCTACTTCCTGGGTCACGCCCAGCTGTTCCTTTCCTGTCCACTTCAGCTGGTCTCTATGCACCCTCAGAACTAATGCAGGGCCAGGCACTGTGTCCACGGAGGGGAGCTGAAAGATGCCAACCCCAGGGTGGGGTGCGGGTGGGGTCCAGGAGGACCTGCGAGGAAGCCTGGGTGCTGCTGAGACAGCGCCAGCACCACCAGGGGGCGCTCGGCGTCCAGACGAGGCCGGACTTGCACACTCTGCCTCCCAGGGGAGCCGTGTCCAGGGGTGAGGGCCTTGCTCTGACGCCAGGCAGGCAGCAGCCCGTCCATCCCTGAGCCCTTCTGGCGCAGGTCAGGTCTCTGCTGCACCATGTCTGATGCATAATTGAAAGTAACCGAAGCCCAGCTTCGCCCAGCTTTGCAGAGGTCAGCACCAGGATGTGTGCTATGAGTCGTGTGCTGAGTGTGCGTGTGTGTGCATGTGTGCATGTGTGCGTGTGTGTGTGTGTGTGTGTGGTCTGGAGAGGGGCCAGCTGCCAAGCTGGGGCAGAAAGTGGGTGGCAGGTCGCTGCTCCCACACGGGGCATGTGCCTTGTGGGAGGCCCCGGAACCTGCACCGGGGCACAGCTGATGGAGGAGGCGCCGGGATGGCAGCCCCGGGGCTTCCCACCCAGCAACATCCTCAGATAGTGACTGGCAGGCCCAGCAGGGAGCTGGTGTCCAGCACCAGACATGCAGGAGCTGCCACAGACATAGACGGGGACTGGCCAGGGGCTCCAGGGTGGCAGCCAGTGCCCTGGACTGAGGGATCTGCCCCCTTGAGCTGAGGTGTGGTGGGCAGTGGCATGAGAATGGAGGCTGAGGCAGGAAGGCCGAGGACACAGGTAAGGGCCTGGCTGTGTGTGCTGCTGTGTAACTCAGGACACAGCTCTAAAGTGACCTGCTGCTGGCCGCAGTTCCAGGAGGCCAGGCCCGCTCAGCAGGGGGCAGAGAAGTTGGGGAGGGGAGTCGTGATGCCCTTAGCTCAGCCCTGGAGGATGAGATTGGTCGCCCCTGCAGACGGGGGTGGCCCTGTCACCCCAGGTGGAAGACCCTGCTAGGACGAGGCTGTGAGTAGCAGGTGAGCTGGCACTGGCGTCTGAGGCCGCAGGGGCAGGGAGGCCCTGGGCGGCCAGACACCCTGAGGGGTGGAGAGGGCAGGAAGGGAAAGACTACAGGCAAGGGGGTGTGTCAGGTGGCCTCTAGGGCCAGCCCCTGCCCCAAGCAGGACCAGGACCCATGAGGTAGTTCTCGGGTACCTCAGCCTAGCCCTGTCCATCAGTACCCAGGGTCAAGCTGTGATGCCCAGGCTTGGGGGGCAGGGTTGGGCACCTTCCTAGAGGGCCACTTCCCACGGCCGAGATGGGCACATGCTCAGGCAGGACTCAGGCCGGGTCAATGGTCCCAGGAGGCCTGGTGCCAGCAGGGAAGATGGAGCCACATGGGGCCCACTGCAGTGGGTGGCGGGGGGAGACACCCAGCCCCGGGCTATGGCTACGATGTGGCCTGTGCCCCAAGGGCCCATGCACTGGATGCTGGCTACATCCCGAGGTCTTGCGGAGGTGAGGGGCGATGGTAGGGAGGGTCTAGCAGGAGGTCACAGGTCACCAGGCTCAGGGATTAACGCGCTGCTGGTGGTTCCCTTGAGACAGTGGCTACAGGACAGGCCCGGCCGCTCCTGGCCTTGCTGGCCTCACATCTTGAGGTGAGACCTTGATGTTGCACGCACCCACCACCACCACAGCACCGTCCTCTGGGAGGGACCAGCCTGGGGGGTGGCTCCATGGTGACTGCAGACAGCTCACGGCCTTACCTGGCCTTCAGCACCTCCTGCATCTTCTGCTCCAGCTCCATCCGCCGCTGCCGCTCCCGGTCCAGCTCCTGCCTCAGCATCTCCGAGTTGGTTTCCTCGCGTAGCTTCCGGAGCTCCTCCTCTGCGGAGACACAGACACAGCCAGGTTACGCTCGTGCTGTCCCCTCCCAGAGAGGGAGCGAGGTTCCATGCATGTCACACGTCCCCATCCCCATCTGTGCCCTGCTGGGCAGTGGCAGCCCCTCAGGGCCCTCCTCTGGGGTGCACATTACGGAAGGAACTGCTAAACGGGGCTCCCCTCCCACGGCTGGGACCAGATCCAGGGAAAGCAAGGACAAGGACTTCTTTACTGCACCCCACGGTGGTGCAAAGTTGAACCCGAGCATTTTTTCCATGGGACACCTGGGCAGGACACCCACAGATTCAACACCTCCTGCAACGCTGGCTCTGGGATGTCATGGCAGACAGAGGCTGTGTTTAGTGGGGCTCAAGCCCTGGAGGAAATGAGCTGTGGCGGGCATCAAGACAGCCGCTTGGAAGGCAAAGTCCTGGGGTCTCCAACACACAGCAGGGGGACAAGGACATTTGCTACAACCCAACACACGCTGGGAAAACAGGTGGGGAGCTCGCTGGCTGCAAACCCAGAGGGAATCCCTCAGCACAGGCCTCGTGGGCGCCCGGGTATTGCACTGAACACCAGAAGCGGGTTCTATCATACGTGAGCAAGCTAACATGAGTCTGTGCTAATATAATAACTGTAATAACACAGACTGTAAACGCACACGCTTGGTCTGGGAGGAGGACAGTAAGAAGCCAGTTCGCCCTGCCCGTGAGCCGACCAGCACATGGGCTGAGAATCACGAAGTTCCCTCCCCATCTCCCATAAGCAACTGGCTGGTTCGAGGTGAGGCTGAGTTGATAGCAACTAGGTACAAAAACTAAATGCTTGCATTGTTTGACTTTGCAGGCCTAAGGTCGGCAGTCTGAGCCTCTATTAGGAGGATAACAGTATGCAATAGCAAATACAGGGGATTTCCTTCTGTTTCTTTTTCTTTTTTTTCTTTCTTTCTTTTTTTTTTTTGGTACCAGGGATCAAACTCACAACCTTGCATTTGCCAAGCAGCTGCTTGGGCCACTGGGCTAAATCCCCAGCTCGCTGCTGTGGTTTTTTTGGTTTTTTTTTGTTTGTTTGTTTGTTTGTTTGTTTTTTGTCTTTTTGAGGCAGGGTCTCACTATGCAGTTCAGGCTGGCCTTGAGCTCACTTTGTAGCCCAGGCTGGTCTCGAACTCTCAATGATCCTCTTGTCTTAGCCTCCTGAGCACTGGGATTATAGGCATGAGCCACCACGCCTGGCTTCCTGCTGTGTTTTTGAAATCCAATATTGTTCCTACTGTTTTGTTCTGATTTATAGTTTTGCTTTATTCAATGTTATGTTTTGATTGGTTTTATTCTGTTCTGCTTTATTTGATTTTACTATGTCTGATGGAATGGACAGCCATTTCAAAGATAACCAGAGATATTATGGTAGCCATTGTTGATTTCCTGTTATCCTGTTTTGAGGTTCTGTACCACTTCCAGCTGTTTTGATTGGCTTTATTGTTTTATTTTGTTAGGTTTTACTCTCTTTAAAATAAAATTTAAAATTGTTTTTAAAAAGACAGGTACCATGAATACCCGTGAATGGAATAGTGCCTGGACTGCTGTCTGGACAGAGTCGGGCAGGTTCAGGATTCAGGGGATGGGGGCAGGGACAGGTGGGGGGCACCAGAAGCCACAGCGGTCAGAGCACGAGGCCTCAGCAAGAATACAGCCTGTCCCCTCTGCAGCCCGTGACAGAACACACACACAGCAGCTCCCAGCACACCGCCAGCCTCTCTCAGACTTCCCCGCCCCAAGTGCTGGTCCTGGGGCAGGGCCCTTCCCTAGCAACAGCTGAAGTACATCAGTCAGGGTTGCCCAGGCTCAGTCTGAACCCCACCTCAGGGGCCAGAACACAGGCTCCACCCTTGGGGACCCCGGAGGGAAACCAGATGGACCACACAGTCCTCTAGCTGGAGGGGCTGGGGCGTGGGCAGCAGAGTGGCCAAAGCAGGGCTTCGGGAGGGAGGAGCAGGTGCCAGCTGGGTTCAGAAGGGTGGGCGGCTACTGTTCTCAGGCCACTTAGCCCTGGGGGCTCCCACAGGTAGGGGAGGGTGAGCCAGGCACACTAGGAGCAAGCTCTGCCAGCCAGTGAGGTAGCAGGGCCTCTGTCCTGGCCAGCTCTGCCCCTCATACCACAGCTGACCAGCCCCTGTCCTGCATGTTCCCTCTCTGCTGCTCAGGCCCCACAGGGGCTGCTCACCAAGCCTGTGGACACTGCCCACTCCCTACCCCGCTGGACTACAGCATGGTGCGGCAAAGAACCAAAAGTCACTGGGGAGAAGGCCTGGCGAGACCACGGCCTCAAGCAGCGTCCAGCCTGGGGCCTGGCACACAGCTGCCAGGCGGGAGGAAGGGAGGACAGACCGATGGATGGAGGCATGGGTGAGAAGTAACCACATTCCCGCACCTCTGCTTCTCTCCATGACCAGCCGCCAGGAGGGAAGTGGGGACCTGGCAACTCCTGGCATAGGGGACCCAGTGCAGAGCCCAGCAGCCCAAGATGGGTGGCTCAGCTCAGTTGCCATCTTCTGACTGAGATGGAGGTCATGCCAGGTAGCAGGACTCATGAAAGCAGCTCCTAGAAGTGATGGCCTCGGAGTCTAACACCCAGAGCTGCCCAAGAAGAGGCCCCAAGGCCCCAGGACAGGGACCGAGGTTGGTGGGCCAGCTTTTGCCCCAGTGGGCAGGGAGCCGGACCGGGGGCAGATTCCACAGGGTAAAGCCCGGGCCTGCAGCCTCGTGACGGGCAGGTGCCTGTGGGGTCAGGGACCTCGTCCCTCACACCTCATGCCCCAGGATGCCATCAAGGGTGCTGACTGGCTCACTGCTGGACACACAGCTGCAGGAGAGCAGCCTCCAAGGACAGGTGACTTCTCACTGTGGGCAGAAGGCTAGGCGACCTCCCAGCCTCGGGATCCAGACCTTCCCTGTGTGATTCTGTCCCCTCCGAGTCTGGGACACCGTCTGACATACACCCCAGGGCTGGGCGCAATGGAGGTGCTAGAAACGGAGATGCAGAACGATGCAGGTGTCGGCACCAATCGCCTCTGACCCCACGTGGCTCTTCCCCCTCCCTACAGTACTGAAATAATAACCCAGGGTTTGCTCAGTGCCCCAGAGTGGCCGGCAACAGGCACAGACCATGCCGTGTCCACGGAGGGAACAGCTGACCACTGCAGTGGTGGGCAGAGGACCGGCCTGTGAGCCTGAGGGTACTGCAGGGATGGACAGGGGACGGAGCCCTCCCACTCACCCTTGGCCCTGCCCTATCCAGAGAGAAATGGGGGCCCTCCAGCCACACTGGTCCTGGCCAGGCTGCCATGCTGCCTCCCAATCCTCAGTGCCTCAGTGGGACCGCCAGGTCAGACCACATCCAGCGTGGGGGACACAGACCAGGCCATGGATTCTGGATTCTGTCCACTGTGCCCTGGGCACAGAGCTCAAATGGCAGCCTTGCGGGAATCCACTGAACACTGCCAGCCCTGACCCTCGAGTGCCCGCCAGAGTCAGGCCTGCTGCACACACAGGAAGGGCTCATTGCCACCGACCTGCCTGGCAGCTATGCCCTCTGTCTGTGGCCCCTGGAGGCAGCAGCCCCAGGCCATAGCTGTGACACAATCGGACCTGAGCTGGTGGGAACAGTGCAGCTCCGCAGCCTGCATGCTCTGCTCTTTGTACTTGGGGCCCTGGCAGTAGCCGGAGCGGGTCAGATGCCAGCCTCGATGCCCAGAGGGGCACAGCTGTCCAAGCGCCTCCTGGTTCCTGCAGCCCCAAGGCCACCCTGATTCAGCCACATGGGAAGCGTCACCCCCCACAACAGGCATGCAAAGATGCCCCAGGTGACCTCGTGTGTCTGGCATGTCCTGGACACCTGTGATAAAGAAGGGACAGTGGGCCTCTGGGGGAAGAGGCAGGTAATGAGCGAGCCTCTGGGTGCCCAAGCTGAGTGGGCACAGGCACAGGAAGGCCCCAGGAAGAAGCCATCTGGAGGGCATCCTCCAGAGGAGCAGGTCACCCGTCCCCGATGAGGCGGTGACCAGCAGCACCAAGCGCCACTGAAGGGCTCCAGAGCTCAGGCCAGAGCCTTTCCCCAAAGAGCAACCCCCCAGTGCTGCGTTCACGTAGGCACAGTGGCCAGTCTGTTTCACAGGGAGCAACTCCTGCGTCCTGGTCACAAGAGCCGCCTTCCCCTAGATCTCAACTCAGAGCTATGGGAGATAAATTCTCATGACAGAGGAGCCTCAGGAAGGGCTTGAGTGGTGTGGACAGCAGGACAAAGCAGGACCCTAGACACAAGCCACTTCCAGGGTCACAGAAAACACGCGGGAGCAGCCACTGGACAGAGCGCTGTGTGGGGCCAGCAACGCTGACAGGAGCAGGGCCAGCACGGCTCCCCACGCAACCACGGGAGGGTGAGCACATCCACGCGGCTCTCTGGATTCCTGGGGTGATCATCTCCCTGGGGAGCAGGGCTGGAGTCCAGCAGGCACAGGCAGGTGACAGCTGTGGTCCAGTGGCCAGTTGGGCTTGGTTTTGACCACTGACCTCTCCAGTTTCGAGGTGACAAGCTGAGCCCTCTGAATGGAAGTTTCTAAGCCTCATTTGCTTCTGTGCTGCTGGCCACTCTCCAAGGCCAGGGACAGACGCTGGGGCAGCATTCACAGCCCACGAGCAAGGAGAAGCCATCAGGAGGGTGTTAGCCCAGAACCTTCTTCCTGGGCAGACAGGGAAGTGTTCAGGAGGCCCAGAGGCACTGTTTCCTGTCCCTGTTCTGGTGCAGCCGCCTGACACACCTGGGGGACCTAGAGCCAGGCCCAAGATCCTGGTTCCACTGCCAGACACGGGAGCAGCTGCATCCCGTGATCTGGGGCCTCGTCCAGGCAAAATACACATGGGCAGGCTGGGGGCTTAGAGGTCAGCACGGCTCTGATACCATTTAGACTTGCTGAGGGTTGGCATCTGCCGGCCTGGCAGACATGT